CTATTTCTGTTTCTTTGTCTGCATCAGTGAATTCTTCTGTGTCCTCATCATCTCCTATGTCAACAAATTTTTCTTCATCGTCAGTCTCCTAACGAAAAAATGGTTTAATAATTTAATGTTCATCAAGTGAAGGTTGCAATGAAGTCTGTATTCAATTATGTGATTTGCTACATCCCCAGCCCTTTGAATTTTATTTTTATTTTGAGACAGGGTCTCACTAAGCTGCCCAGGGTGGGCTTGAACTTTTGTGATCTTCTCGCCTCAGCCTCTGAAAGTGCTGGGATTACAGCACGTACCACCATACCTGGCTCCAAAGTTAAGTTTTGAGCCAAGAGACTCTGAGACTCTGGAGCTTTATTACTTGAAAGTACTCAGTCCTCAATAAATAGCTGATGTGTTGTAAATAACCCAATTAGGCAGGTGCAATTATTTTCATTTTATGAATGAGCAAACAGGACCTATAATCTTCCCTCAGTATTTTATGTAATTAGTCTTTCATGTAGTATAGTGGTAGAGGGCAAGTAACCTGCCCACATAGTTAAGTGTACATCTGGCACTAAAATTCAGGGCCATCTCCATCTGACTCTAGAGCTCAGACTGTAATACGCTCCAGAGAACTGAGTTCCTGCCGCTGAAACAAAGAAAAAACTAAACCAACTAATACATTTTATCACCCATTCAATTTAAATAGTAGTTTGAAAATATACCACATGATCATCTAGTTGACTTCTTAAATCTGGTTTTGCTTTAAGGATCTCAGACACAAGATACAGAGCTCCACATATGAATGGCGGCATCTGTGCACAAGTAATTTCAAGCAACCTCTTCACAAAAGCTTTCACGCGGCGCAAGACGATGTCTGCTTTCAGAGATTTGTAGACAAGGTTAAGAAACATAGCTTGCTTGGAACACATCATCAACCCTGGATCCAACATCTTTCTGTCAAATAAAATTAAGATCAAATACTTGTTTATAGAAATATCTCGATAACCAATAGTCTCAAGTATTTACAACATTGTTCAAAATATCATGCCTCAATGGGTGAGTTGTAGGATAGCTGCTCAGTACAGTAAGCAAAGTCTTCTACGTGCCTTTAAGGGTGGGACTCCACCGTGCATAGCCTGAGCACATGAAGAATGTGGAGAATGAGCAGAAGGAGCAGCATATGTAAGCACTCAAAAAATACTTGCTGAAGCTAATGCTGTGGCACCCGCCCAGAATCCCAGCCCTCTGAGAGGCTCAGGCATGAGGATTACAAGTTTGAGCCATCCTGGGCAATTTACTGAGACCCTGTCTCCAAATAAAAACCAAACAGGGCTGGGGATATAGCTCACCGTGAAGGCTCTGAATTTAATCCACAGTACTGGAAAGAAAACAAAACAAACAAAAAAAGTCCCCTCAAAACAAGACCTCACAGAACAAATTACTGGACAGGAGAGAGGAGACAGAGCTGAGGATAAGGGGGAGAAGGAAAGTTCAATCATACTAGTGGCTTATTTCCTTACCGTCCCAAGATTTAAGAGAAATGTAGCAAAACGTTAATTTTAAAGCAAGTGGTAGTATGAAACTTACTCAAAGTTGGGGAGAAGCAAGCTGCCGAGCAAGGCCTAAAGTCCAGTTCTGAGTCCTCCTCTTGCCCAGCAGCAGGGCATGTGCTATACTAGATCCAGTTATTACCCACACTTGCAGAGCGGAACGCTATGTACTCACCTGTATAATGCTGAATAATATCGATCCGATATCGTCTGCTGAGAATTCATTACTTGGAAAAGCAACATCAAAGCCTGAACACTAGTATTAAAATTTACAAGATGCAACACTTTGAACAACGTGTCCACCTGCTCCCTCACTTTGTCATCCCCACTCTGGGAGTAAGGATATCCCCTGTTCACACCTGCATTTTGGACTCAATATCTTTTTTCTTGACACAAGTCCGGAAAAAACAAAAATAGATAGTTATTAATTTGTTAGCCAATTCACTTTCTTCATGGGAAAGGGCTATTTGATTTAAAAAGCAAATTGAATAATATTGAGCCTTGGGGCTGATATTTGAGCGAAAGAGGAGCCTTTCTATTTCGCCACACACAACTCCTTTCATATTTGGATGTTTACAAAGTAATGTCTCTAAGAGATGGGACGCTTTTGTGGCTATTCTGTTCTGAGGATCTCCCAGTTTATTTACCACTTGTACAAGAAGGGCCTTTTCTTCTTCCGGCTTGTTACAGAGTAGCTCATGAGCTGCTGTGAGGGCCCGAATTTTACTGGCTGCCAAAGAATCCTGACTTAAAGTTTCTAAGATCTGCACAAATTCAGCTACTAAGTGTTTCAGCTGGTGTTCAAAATACCATAATATTAGCCTTCTATCTCTCGAGTCCTTGTTGCCACTGGACAACTGTTCCAGTTTGTTGAAAGGATGCTGGCTGAAAACTCGCAGTTTCCGATTATCTGGTAAAAGGTCTGTAATGAGCAACTCTTTGAAAGTATCCAAAGCCATGAAGCACTGCTGCTTGCTGCCCTTCTTTTTTTAACAAGGTTCAGGAGTGTTTCTACAAATTGGAGTGTGTGAACAGCATCATCTTGGATAAGAAGTATCATGGCTGCCATCCTGTCACCTAGCGTCCCTGATGATACAATTGCCTTCATCCATGCAGAAGAGGCTCCCTTTTGTTTATTTGTTTTATTTTTGAATAATTTGATTTCACATTCATACAGCTTCTGAGCCAGGGTTTTGTACTTACACACAATATCCTGAGGCTGGGGTTCCAAACAATATTCATTGCTATACTCCAGATCATACCATTTGCCTCCAGCCTTGAGCAACAAAGTCTCTCTCTCAAAAAATTCAAAGACATCCTGTTGTTTATCTTTCTTTACTTTTGGTATGGCACTGCTATTTTTCCCAGAATGTTTTTCTGGCATATCCTTATTTTTCACCTTATTGACCGACATCCTCACACTTTCTGCTGCGTTTTGCTGTTTATTTTCTATTTTAGATACTTTTGCTTCTTTTTCGCTGGTATTTTCTTTTTTAGCTGGTTCATCTTCCTCAATGAAAGATTCTGCATATTTGGCTAAGCTGAGGCTTTGAATAAATGCTTTCAGTTCACCTTCTTGAAGGTCATCAATTGTTCCTTTTTTGCCTCCATCCAACACTTCCTCATTCTCATCCAAAGCAGCCAGCATAAGGTAATCTTGCTATATGAAAACATTAAATAGGTTAAATGTAAACATTAAGCAGGTTAAAAGTAAATTACAAATATAACATTTTAGTTAAAACTTCATCTTTGAACTCGGAGGAACTGAATTATTATGATATTACCTGGCCTATTACTCTATACCAAATCAACATTTGATGACTAAAAGATTTAAACATGAAAAGTAAAACCATGAAAAAGAAATGCAACACAAGCAAAAAATTTTTTCAGAATAGGGAAAACCTTTTCCAATTTCACAGAAAACCCAGAGACCACGAAGGACAGGATCAGTAAATTTAGCATTCTCTCAAACACAAAACAGAAAAATCAAGGCAATAAACTACATTACTCAAAATAGCAGGACAGTGGCTAAAACGTAAGTAGCCGCAATACATGGCTAAGTAGCTAAGTCAGATGCAATGATTTATGCAGTTATGAAACATAATTTTATACACCGGAAGGATTTCTAAAGCAAGAAAGATGTAAAATATATGATCCCGATTGTGTAAAAAAAAAACCACATGTATATATTTCAAGTGTATATGTATGTGCAAGGTGAGGTACAGAACATCCCTGAAAAATAGAAAACACACTTGTAAATATAACTGCTTCCCCTAGAAGGGAAACTGCATGGCAGAAGATAAAAGTGGGAAATATTTTTCATGTATCCCACACTTCCAATAACCTTTTAAAGCTTGCTGAGGTTGTTAAAGCTTGTTCCTATGTATTTTCTACTCAAAACGTAAATATAACCCAAGTACAGAGCAAACTGAATGTGCCTGTGTAGGGTGCATTTCTACTGCTCTAATTCCCACAAAGTCTGGGCTCAAAAGACTATTTCTAAAAATAGCCGAAATCTAGTCACATATTTGCCTAAAATCTTCCAGTGGTTCTGCATTAAGCAGAAGCATGAACCTCATTTCTTATTCTTCCCTTCACTGTGCCTCAACTACAATGGGATCTCTGCTGTTTACGGTACAATTCCGTCTACTTTGCAATTGCTGTTTTCGGACTGGATCAGCCACCGCTCACACCCCTCCTACGGGTTTTTGCTCAAATGCGTTCTCAGTGTTGCGTTCCCTGATCACGTCATCGAAACTGTAACGACCTTCCTGACTTTATCCTTCTTTTTCGTCTCCCTACTACTACTTGGCACCTAAAAAGTCTGTTTACTGTTTCTCTCAGGATGTTCAGTCCATGAAAGAGCGCTTCGGGAACATAGTGAGCATGATCAAATGCCCAGTGAGAACAGAAATTAATTTTCAACATCGCTGGCATTCAAAACATTGGAGCCACGAGGTCAGGACCAAGAAATCAGTTTTCCCCAACCTGATGGAGTGATGGTTACACCACGTCAATAAAATGAGAAGATCGCCTACATCCCAAAGAAGGCCACAGCATAAAATGTTCAGTACTAACTTCTCCTTTTGCAAAGAGCAGAGCAAAAAGTGCGGCAAGCGCTGCGAGCATATTCCGAGGCTAGGCTGTGGGGCCGGGACGATCATCCCCGCCGCGGGAGGGGCGCGCCACCTGCCAGGATCACTCCGGCACCTCGCGCTAGTTCCCCTTCCCTGAGGAGTCTGTGGCCGTTACCTTGGTGCCTCCAAGCCGTAACACTTCCTCCAGGGAGAAGCCATTCTCGGCTTCACCGTTATCATTCTCGTCTTCCTCATCTGAATCTTCTAGCACCTCTCTTCGGGGCCAGGGCCGCTTGGCGTGGAACTCCAAAGGTTCCTTGGCGGCCGCCATAGCTCGCAAAGCACGCGCACAGATCGCCGCTCACTTCCGCTTGGAGAGTGACGCACTTCTTCCCTGCGGACATAGCCCGGAAGTGGTTGCAATCACCCTCCCCGGGGCAGTGCTCGGTCCCGGCCCAGCTCGGTATGGGTGTTCTGGTGAGATCCGCTGCTCGGCAGCTGTGCTACGCGGCTCGCGCGGGTAAGGGTGTTCCCAGTAGAACCCAGTTGTCGTGGAAGACGCTTGGATCACCTCCACAGTTTCCCGGTTTGGGGATCTTGGTAGCTCGGGACTCACTTCTAGCCTGAGGCGCTGTCGGCTGCGTGGTCGTGGGCAAAGCGCTTGCCTTCTCTCGCGTCGTGGGCGAGTTGCGCGCGTCGGTCCACCTTCTGGGCTTGAGGCGCAGTTAAGGATGAACGAAGGTGCCAGGAAAGCGTTTAGGCCACTTGAACGTGTAAATACTAAGATTTATAATGGGGCTTGCTTAATCTGTATTTTTCAGTCATTCCCTGTACTTGGAGAGGGAAATACTTCAGCTCCGGCAGTGATGAGCCGGCAGCAAACAACCGGGTGACGCCTATGCTACGGCATCTTATGTACAAAATAAAGTCTACCGGCCCCATCACTGTGGCCGAGTACATGAAGGAGGTGTTGACCAACCCAGCCAAGGTATGGGTCGGGGATCCTGCAAAGCCCCCTTCAGCAGATTTACGAGGTGCAAGGGTTGAGGGGGTTGTGTGCGTAGGGAGAGAGGCCGGAGCTCTTCTAGGGCAGCCTGGGGACATGTAGTTGAATCTGTCTTCGGCCACGGCTAGTGCCACTGCAGAAGACAAATTCCCAAGGCGTTTAGGAGGAATGTAACTGGCCTTTGAAGGAAGGATGACTTTCCCACCTGGGCTGATGGTGGGGTCGTTGTACTGGCGGAAGGGCATGCAGGAGAGGGAAAAGCATAGCCCCTTTAGGAGGCAGGGGAAGGATGAAGAGTTACATTTCAAGTATACACAGGATTCTTCGGTATGGAAGTCGCCAGTAGGCAACTGGAAATAAAAACTCATTGCTTGGAAAGTTGTCTGTCAGTAGCTTCAGTGGGCATTAAAAGCATGTTCAGGGTTTCTGCGATTGGTTTGGCCTATTCCTGTTGGATGTGGTGAAGCGACTCAAGTGTCCAGAGGTTTTCCAAAGGCGGGGATATTTTAATGTTTGTGGGCAGTGTTCTAAGATGGGCGGCTTAGACTAGTGCAGTGGTAGGAATGAGGTGAAAAATGGGTGCTTTTAGAAATAGATCTTGGACTCACTGGATTTGCTGATGAGTTAAGTAGAACGGTGAAGGAGAGGAAAGAATCAAGACTGATTCCTAGCTTTTTAGCTTGAGCAGGTGAGTGAAGGTTGTGCCTTCTGTTGAGACAGGATGGAGAGAACCAGGTTTGAAGGAGTTCTGCGGAAGAGGGTCTACCTCAGCAGCTGTTTGTTTTGTCAGTGATGTTCAGGTGGAGGTAGTAAGTAGGCACTTGGCTGTTTGGGTACACATATGTAAATTTGGTTGTCATCAGTGTGTAGATGGCAATTAAGGCCACGGAACCAGGGAGAGTATACATAAAGGAATTTTCCCGGCATTAAGACGGGGTAACGCCAACATTTAGTATGAGATTCCTCATATACAGACCCCTGAATAGAAAGCTGAGAGTTTGTGAACTTGAATTGAAAAAAAATTACTCCTTTGTTTTCATCAACTTATAACTGAAATGTAGCATTTCTTTAATTATGAACATAGGCAACAAGTAAGAACACGGGCAATACTTTTTTTTCCCCTCCCTTTGGTGGCACTGGGGATTGGACCAAGCCCTTTCACACTGAGCTACATTAGTGAACTTTATTTGTTTTTGAGACAGTGTCTCACGAAGTCACCAACTTGCCCTGATTGGACATGCACCTTCCATCCTCCTGTTTTAGCCTTCCAGATTGCTGGGATTACAGATGTGTGCCACCATGCCTAGCTAATACTTTGTTATTGGGTAACTGATACTGTCATTATCATAATACAGTGATTACAGGTATCTCAAAATACTGTTGTGTTCATCCTTCAAATCTTAATCATTAGGTATCTGGCTTGATTTTGTCTTTTAACACACTAGTAAAGACATTTTTTAAACACTTGATAAGTATTTTTCCATTGATTTCTTCTGTAATTCTGTGTGTTTAAAGTTCTGTGCATTTAAGCCAGAATGTTGACACATACTGAGGCACACTGAGGCAGGAGAATTGCAAGTTCACATATAGCCTGGGCAACTTAGCAACTTATGGAGACCCTGTCTCAAAATTAAAAAATAAAAATGGGCTAGGGATGTAGCTCAGTGTGAAGGCCCTGAATTCAGTCCTCAGTCCTGAAAAAATTTATGCATTTAAAAAATTCTGTGGATTTACTGTAGGCTTCACTATCCTAGCAGCATGTTTCAGTACCCTACTTACGAAGTGAAGTCTCGCACCCCCTAGAAGGGGAACGTTATGTATTGCAATTTGGTTTTTTGGGGTTGTTTTTGTTTTTTTGTACCAAGGATCGAACTCAGGTCCTTGTGCTTGCGAGGCAGGCGGCAGAACCTCTGAGCTAAATCCCCGGCCCTGGAATGTTATATATAGTGAAAAAAAGTTCTGTTTAAAGATGCGAGTAAGTTTATTTTTAATGCCGAAAGGGAAAAGCTGAAGCTGTAAGCGACGTGATGATAAAAAGCCTGCAGGTGTTGGATACAGAATGGCAGTCCACAGCATTAGGCTTGGCTAAGAGAAGGGGAAGGCATTTGTCCTTTGCTTCCCAGAGAGAGTATACATGGGACCTGGGAGCTGGTGGAAGCCAGGTGAGGAATTGTGTTGAATAATGTGTCTCAGTTCTTGCACAGGGCAGGAGCCCAGGGTCACCTGCTAAGTGTGAGTGGTAGAGTAAAGTATTTGAAAAGCAGAGGGAAGTTTGTAACACAAAATTCTTTCTTGGAAGTTACGTATTATGTTAAAACTTGGGATATGAAAATAAATAAGACACAGTCCCCTCCCTCAGATAAATACTGCTTCTTGTGAAGAACACAGATGTATAAATAGGTTCAGAAGAGGAAGCACTGGGGTTAGTCTTAGGTCGAGGGCTGAGCAAGAGGTCAGCAAAGGCAGCTTGTGAGCAGACTCAAAGGATGAGTATAAGAGCGAGCGAGAAATGAAAAGGGAGAATTTGCAGTAGCATAGATGTGTAGACATCCGGGCTAATTTATAAAAAACACCTCACCTTCGGGCCGGGGATTTAGCTCAGTGGTTTCGCTGCCTGCTGTGCAAGTGCAAGGACCTGAGTTCGATCCTTGGTACCAAAAAAACCCACACCCCAGCTTTTTATTGAGATACAACGTTCTGATAGAAAAGTGCATAAATCACAAGCTATAGTTCAGTGCATTTTCACAGAGTGAACACTCCCATGTAATCTGCACCAAGATCAGAAACAGCACATTAGCTGGGCCTGGTATACTCGGGAGGCTTGAGACAGGAGGATCTTGAGTTCAAGGCCAGCCTGGGCAAGATAGTGAGACCCTATCTCAGAAAACAACAAAAGAAACAGAACATCAGCAGGAAGGGTCTGGGGCTGGATTGTGAGCAGGAAGGGGAAGCAGGGCAGATATGATCATTGCGTGGTTCCGGGTTCTGCAGCTGAGGAGTAACTTTTTCTTGGTTTGGCAAACAGACTCCTATTTTGTGAAAGAAGTAGAGACACTGTCTCTGTCTTGCTTATTTAGAGAACTTTCATACCAAATATTTCATTGTATATATTATGTAAGATTTTGGAGACGTGTTTTAAAAAACCACACTTGAAAATTAATTTTTCTTCATTTTTTTCCCTTTTGCTCAGGGATATTATATGCACCGTGATATGCTAGGAGAAAAAGGAGATTTCATTACTTCACCTGAAATAAGCCAGATCTTTGGGGAGGTAACGCCCTACGTAAACTATAAAAGACAGTAACATCATAAACATTTGAGAGCAGATCACTTTGTATTAGTCTATGATAGTGTTTTACAGGGATTTCTTTTGTGATTCATCAAAAGTTTTAATTTTTTAGAAGGAATAGAGAGGAAATAGGAAAATGGTAGAGAGGACATTTGAAAAATTTATACTTGACTGTAGAGAAGGAAGTGGATGATAAGAGGGATAAAGAGAAGGAAAGGAGATAGAAGCCAACAGATCAGAAAAGAGGAAAACCCAGATGACACTGAGAATGGAAGAAAAGAGGGAGAAAAGATAAGAAAAAGAACTCTGAAGAATTAGTGGAATTAAGATGAGGTCTAAAGCTCCCAGCCATGATTTAACCATGGCTAGAGTAGAAGTCTCCCTTTAAGGAACAGAATTTTAGTTATTTCCATATAAGTACCTTTGATGATATAGAAATAGGAAGTTGTGCACAAGAGGAAGTAGAATCTAGGTGATGAGAAATACTAATTATACCTAAGAATCATGTAATTATTTAAACGATGAGTGTGAAGAAATGTCATAATCTCATTTCATAGGTCTGTTTAATTTCAATTGAAATTGAAATTGTGCACAAGAGGAAGTAGAATCTAGGTAATGAGAAATACTAATTATACCTAAGGATCATGTAATTATTTAAACGATGAGTGTGAAGAAATGTCATAATCTCATTTCATAGGTCTAATTTCAAATACTAGTACATTTCTGTAAATGATGTCCTGTTATCTGTACCATGAGGCTTTTTATTGGAGTGACAGGAGATTTGAGATTGTCTTATTTAGTCCTTTCCCTGGTCTTAGGCAGTTTCTCAGTACTCAGCCAAAGATTTTGCATGACCCCCCCTACTATAAAAACCCTCATGGTACAGAAAAAAAGATGAAACTATTTTCTCCTATTATTAAGCTTCCTGCATGGTGTATGTTGTGATTTTGTTGTGATTTCCTACTGAAGTTCTTCTGTGTGCATGTGTATTATGTATACATTAAATAATATACATATAGTGATTTGTAGATATTTTATGGCATAAAGTATGTACTTATGGGATTTTACATTATGGTATACTTTTGTACTTTGTATTACTTTAATCTATGTTTTCTTTGTCATAGCTACTAGGCATATGGTTCATTAGTGAGTGGATGGCCACTGGGAAGAATGTAGCTTTCCAGCTGGTGGAACTGGGCCCGGGTCGGGGCACCCTCATGGGAGATATTTTGAGGGTAGGTGATAAAAGAACGTCTTTAAGTCTCGTGTTGGTTAGTCTTATTCTGAATTTGATAACTTCATTGATTTTCTTGGCTTTCAGTTATACCTTCTCAATCTTAGTTTCTCAGCTAAAATATAATGTTAGAATAATATAATGGATAATTTCTCATTATTGTTTATAAGCTTAAAACTGTGTGTGTGTGCATGTGTGTGTGTAGATGTGTAGAGAATGTAAAAGCTAAGTGTTTAGAAGACATAGGAGAATGTATTTGTCCTCTTAGTTGGTAAAGTTTTTATTTATATCTGAGCAGAAGCCGTAAAGGAAAAGATTAAAAATTTAATTTCAAGAAAATAAAATTAGGAACTTTCTGTTCTTTATAGAAATTAGGAAATTTTTGTTGTCAAAGACACAATGGAATGATGAGATAAGCCACAGAGTGGGAGAATTTACTAATAACCAACAACAGTAGAATATATAAAGAACTCCTTTAAATCAAGGAGAAGATAACAAAGAATAGAAAAATCAAGCTAAAGATTTGAACAGGCCCCTCATAAAAAAGAAAATCCAAGTGGCTATTGAAAATGAAACAATGCCCGTTACTCATAGTCAGAGAAATGGGAATTAAAATCACAGCAAGATAGCACTATAACCCTATCAGACTGGAAAAAATAGAAAGTCTGACATCACAAAGTGTTGGTGAGGATGGGGCTATGTGGAACAGTGGGAGCTGTCATGTACTACTGTGCAGGTATAATTTGGTACAGCCACTTTGAGAAGCTATTGGACATTATCTGCTAACTTTATAAAGTCACTTATGTTGTATGAATCTGAAGTTTTACTGCTACTCCTATAAACTGTACCAGAAGTCATGTACAAGAAGGTAGCATTGTTGATAATAGCAAAAAACCCAGAAACAACCCAAATTCCTATCAGTGGGAAAATGGATCAGGAAATTGTGGTACAGCCATCCAGTGTAATACCAAGTGCTGTAAGAATGCTTGAAGCCAGCAGAATGTAGCAGTATTCAACATAAATTAAAACATTGAGTAAAAATAGCAATTGCAAAAGAATTTCTATGATTACATAAAATCCAAAAACATCAACAAAAGCAAGATATATTTGATAACAAATATATTTAATAAGATTCATAAAGAAAGGTCATGAAGTGCTTAATTGGAAATTTAGAATGGTAGTGACTTCGGAACGTAGGGGAGGACGCAGGGGCTGTGGAGGTCATGTCCTGTTTCAGTGAGCAGATGGTGGATATTTTATCATGGTCTCTTTCTATCATTTGACCTAGTTCTTCATGAAAACATTTAAAAGGAGCACTGTTAGTACCTGATAAGTAGTACTGCTTATTATTCTTCTGTAGTCTTTACTATTTTGGAACCCATTAGTCATTTTGAGTTTATTTTGAATGTACCTGGCGATTCTTTATAAAAACACAAAGATGTTCTAAATTTTTTTTTTTTTTTTGTGGTGCTCAGGCTTGAACCCATGGCCTTGCTCATGCTAAGCAAATGCTCTACCACTGAACTACATCCCCAGACCATATTTAAATTTCTTGATGCTCTGTGATTTGCTTCAAATTGGGAATTGAAAGGTTTTTTTTAAAGCAAAATTTATAAGCATAAGAATCCTGATCGTACTTGGCAAAAAAAAAAAAAAATCACTGATGAAGTTTTCAGATCTCTATTTTATATTTCTTTTAAAATGACAAAACCATCTGAATTTAAAATATTTTAAAAAGTTCTTGAAATAGTATTTTCTTATTCAAGTACTTGAAAAGAATTAAGCCCACAGCCTTTAAGATGTCCGACCCAGAGAATTTAAAGGAATGTAAACAAAGTTTCCAAACCAGGTATTATGGACCTATTTTTTAAGTGAGCTTACTTTTGAAAGGTTTTTTGCTTGGGAAATTTTTCCATGTGTAGTTTAATTTCAAGTCAAGTTTGGACATCTTGTTCAATTGATTGGTCTGTATCTGCACATTTGTATCTCAAAAATAGGCAAAACACGATGAAAATTCAGATGAAAAATCTTGATACTCTGTGCTTTTTAATTTTTAGCAAAGACTGATACATTATTAATATTTTCCTTTCTTGTATGTTTACAACAGTAAAAAAACAAAAAAACAAAAAAACTGTCGCATAGCTAAGAAAAATTGAAAATCCAATATAGTCCCAGAGGTAAGCTGCCAAGTTATTAGTGTCGTTCAAATATAATTCCCTTAGGACACAGTTTAATCATCTGAAATGTAAGAGTATTTCATAGACATCCAAGCTTTATAAAACCAAGGACATACAAATTTTATTTCCTTGGTCTTTTTTTAAGACTTTATAATCTGAAATTGTTTTTATTGAATGCTAAATTTTTTATTTTCATTCATTAATCATAATTTATCATTAGGCAACCAAATTGTACACTGTTTATCTCTTAGTGATGGGGAACATTTTAGAGCTTTCAGTGATACAAACAGCCCGCTGCAGCACACATGCCATAGGTTCACCACCACTGTCTTAAATTACGCCGAATAAGTCTAATAGGTTATGATTCTTACAGACTGTTGGAGAGTGGCTTTGATCAGGAGCAGATCTTAGCAAATATTACTTGTGATTTGACTGAATAAAGGTAGTAAATGGTTAGAAAACCTAACATCTATTTATAACACATTGTATTTTGCCCATAATTTTTTTCTTTCTGTATTTAGGTGTTCAGTCAGCTTGGATCTGTGCTAAAAAACTGTGACATTTCAATACACCTAGTAGAGGTGAGCCAGAACTTAAGTGAGCTTCAAGCATTGACACTAACTGAAGCAAAGATCCCATTAGAGCAAAATCCTGAATCCCTAGTGTATATGAAAGGTGTTACTAAATCTGGGCTCCCAATATCCTGGTATCGAGATCTACAGGATGTTCCAAAAGGTAATTAATTCATACTGCTTAATCAGAGAATTTTAATTACAACCCCATAGTAGTGATCATTGACCATAACTTCTTACAGCAATTTAATATTTCTGCCAAGTTCCTTTTCCATAGAAAACAGCTCCCCTTTTTTTTCCTAGAAAAGATTGTAGTAGAAGATAGAATTTCCTAACATTAAGGAGCAATGTATTTAAAGTAGTTTTATTAAATAAATAAATAGCAAAGCAAAAAACCTCCGAAAGCCAAAATGTAGATTTCCACTGTACTTTTTAGTATTTCCCTGTATCAAGGATTGTACTGATGGACGAAGCAGCCCAAGACAGCAGGGGCAGAAGAAAGCAGTATTAATAGAAGGATTTAGTTATTTAATCTTTTGAAAATGATTGCTTGCCTAAGATGGTGGCACAATCTCTGTACTGCTCCCAAGAATCTTTGAGGAATCCATGCTCAAACCTAAGTGGGAGTAGGATCTTGGGCAAGACACTGAGAGCCATTCCCTGACCTCAGCCTTCTCAGATGATTTTATAAAATTCAGATTGCCCTCCAAATGTGAGCTAACAAATGTGTGTCTAATTTTTTTCAGGTTGAGTGGTGATGAGATTTAACCAGTAATTCAGACATTGCAGTTCTCTGACCCTGTTATGTAGAAAATGAGAGTAGTAATGCTTACTCCTTCATATGTTCTGCAGAGTAAGTTTCCCATGAAGAGTAGGCTGTCTTTGGCAGTGATGATTATGGAAGCATCCCAGGTTCCAATACTGAATAGTTAGACATTTTGTTTTTTACAGTTAATGTTTTAGAGACTTAATTACCTTGAAATGCTGAACCATTAATTATTTTCTTCTATTTTTAAATAGGATACAGCTTTTTTCTTGCACATGAATTTTTTGATGTTCTTCCTGTGCATAAGTTTCAGGTATTGATGGGAAAAGTCATGTTTATAATTGAATAACAGGAGGTCTTGTGTTGCAAGGCTGAACATTTACAGTACTTACTCAGTTTATAAGCATTACCTGTTGAGTGACTTTTAACTATTATTTGAAGTTTGGTGAACATGAGTAATTGAAAAGGGAAATGAAATATTAACTAGAATTTTAATGTTCTTGGAGTATATATATATTTTTTGATGGTACTAGGGATCAAACTCAGGACCTTGCACTTGCCAGGCAGGCAGAGCACCACTGAGGTAAATCCCCAGCCATCTTGGAGTAATTGTTAAGAATTCTTAATTCTTTAGTGAAGAATGCCATTGAATTTTGATGCTGATTGCCATGAATTGCTTTTGTCAAGTTAGTACTATATCTCCCCACCCCCATACCGGGGCTCAAACTCAGGACCCTGCGCTTGCCAGTCAGGTGCGGTGCCACTGAGCTACATACATCTCCAGTCCTGTATGGCCTTTTAAACAGCATTAATTCTGCCAGTCCATGAGCATGAAAGGTCTATTTTCTAGTATCTTCAGTTTCTTTTTTCTGTGTTCTGAAATTTTCATAGTAGAAGTCTTTTACCTCCTTGGTTAGATTGATCCATAGGGATTTTGGGGGAAGCTATTGTGAATGGAATTGTTTTCCTGGTTGCTATCTCATTACTGGTGTATAGAAAAGCTATTGACCTTTTAATGTTGATTTTATGTCCTGCTGCTTTGGTATATGAATATGATCAAAATGCATTACACGCATTGACTTCCTCTCCCCATATGAAAACTAGGGAGCTCGGGGGAAGAAAGGGTGGGGAGGAAATAAAGTGTTCTTTGTGCACATACAGATCTGCCACAAAGAAACCCATTAATCTGTATAGTCGGTGTGCACAAATAAAGTGGAAAAAAAAGAATTCTGGGATAAATGCAAGATGGTAAATTTAAATGACTGGTATGTGTAGTGAAGGATTTATTTTGATAAACATTTTTAAATTCCAAACATTAATTTTTATTCTCATTCTTTCTGTGAGACTTAAGATTTGGTAATGTGGGGCTGGGGATTTAGCTCAGTGGCACCGCGCCTGCCTTGTAAGCGCAAGGTTGTGAGTTCAATCTCTGGTACCAAAAAAACAAAACAAAATTAAAAAAAAATTTGGTAACATGTCTACTGGTAACTTTTAAGGCCAAGAGGAGTTCTCATTACAAACTCCAGAGTTTGTTTTCCGTTTTGGGGCACTTTCCACATTGCTTATTTTCTTACTTTTTAAAAAATTTTATTCTATAGCTCCATTATGTATTGCTTCTTTCTTACAGTATTAATAGTTTGCGTATATCAGTTTATTCATAGTTTCTCTACTAAAATTATTTAGTGCTCTGTAAATGTTATTATGTACAAAGAAAAAGCTAATAGTACTTTTGATAAAGGCAATTATGACAACTTGCAACAATTTTTTTCATGTTCTTTTGTTTAGAAAACACCCCAAGGATGGAGAGAAGTACTCATTGATATTGACCCACAAGTTTCTGGTAAACTGAGGTTTGTTTTGGCGCCTTGTGTCACCCCAGCACAAGCTTTTCTACAAGTAGGAACACTGTGTTTTCTAAGTTTCTCTTATTGCTAACAGAGCATTCAAACTATTGTTTTCTGAGTTACTGTTTGAGTTCCTTCAACAGAGGAATTGTTAGCCACATTAAAGGTGCTTTTCGTTGACAGTGAAAGTGCAGAGGATCAGATTTCAAGAGAATAGGTTAAAGTTAAGTTTGTCACCTTAATGTCATGTAATGAGAACATTAGTAAGCACTTACTTAGCCAAGTCCTCATCTACTTTTTTAATCTGTTGCTTGACTATCAAATGATGAAGGTACTGTCAGCTTTACAGGTAAGTGCTTACAAAGGCACTGTAGTACTGACGGTAGTTGTTTACAATGAAAGCTCACATTTATTGAGTGCTTTCTATATATTACTCTGTACTTTCTCATTTCATTTGGAAGGCAACTGTATTGGGCAAGTTCTGTTGTCACTCCTTTTAGGTAGAGTGTTGCTTTTTCTCCATGTTCTACCCAGCTCTAAATTTGATTCTGGACTGTCACAGTGGTAGATTTCTGTAGACCTCCAGGAATAACTGCAAGAGCTTTCTTACCCCTGGGGTTGTGTTTAAAGGTCCAAAAATACCATATACTTCCCAGGAATATCTTGGCTTCAGAGGACGTCTTTATTCTTCTACCTCAGGAAAACTTTCTACTTTCTGGACCTTAATTAAGGGTTGCCTACCTTGGAAGTTATCAGTTTTAAAAGCACAATAGCTTTTAAGCATACACCTGTGAATTAAGTTTTCTTTACAAACTATAAGTTAAAATCAGACTAAACACTTGTGAACATACCTGTTTTTCATGTTATTTCATACTCATCTGATTTCACCTGAATGTCAGGTGGATTTATAAAGCTTACCCTACCCCAAGTTGCTTTAGTTCCTGACTTGATTAGCATTCACATACAAGGGAGTAAATTTTCCTTTTCACTTGAATGGAACAAATGCTGGTGCCGTCATCTTGAGCAGTCTAAGGTAGTAAGCTGCAGTTTGTCAGCTGGTCCCTGAAAAGGCTGGCTTCATCATTTTGATGGCTACCTCAGGTACGACTTATTTAATAGCACTAGGGGCTAAGTGGCTTATTCTTTTATTTAATTCTCATGACAGACGTATATATAAATGAGGAAAACAACACAGACTGAATAACTCATCTACCATTGAGCACCTGGAAGAACTAAGGTTCACCTATAATTCTCTGACTTCAGCTGTTATTAACTGTGCAGTAATAAGCAGAGATGAAAGGGTAGGTTCTTGTTTTTAGTGGTGTTAGGAGGAAGCAAAAGATAATGTTTTCATCATGAAGAATAAGTATCACGTTTCAGTCATCTCAGGCAACAGTAAAACTTCATAGATACCAGTCAAGTTGACAAGCATTAATGTTTACCGTCACTTCACTTTTGAAGCTAGTAAGCCCATTTGTGGACTCTTCTGTACTGGCTGGACATTTCAGCTAGTACGTGTCTGAGATCTAGTGGCACTACTTCATAAGCTGATGTTTCTAGACACAAGGCGTATGGACTGGTATTCTTTCTACTCCAGCAGGTCATCATAATCTGCTTAACAGGATCTGTTTTGTTATATTGGATTTATATCTTTTGTTTTTTCTGCCCAATTTTTTGAGTGCCTGTTAATCCAAGGCACTGTTCTAGGCAGACAAAAATCCTTTCTCATGCTTTTAACCCAGTAGAATGTTTATTTCTACTATAATATGTAAGTACTTTTATAATAAAATGCATCAGGTGTGGTGTCACCAACTTGTACTCCCAGCACTCTAGATGTTGAGGCAGGAGAATCATGAGTTCAAGGCCAGCCTGGACTATACATACTGAGACCCTGTCTCAAGAAACAAACAACAAAGAGAATGCACTTGGCCACAAAGGGATTGAGAGGGCATGTACCTTTTTATAAAAGAGGTTAAAATGTCTACAAGCTTAGTGGATAACCATCAGAGAATCAAAGAATTGTACATAACAAAAGGGATGTCATGTGAAACACTGAGAATAGAAAACATACTCATATTGAGAAGGAATTTATTTTTATTATAACTTAAGAAATGCTTATTATAGAGAAACATGAAAAACCCTAAGTTTTTTTGAATGATATATTTTGATTCTTCCAATTATTCCCTCACTAGCATGATGAAATAAGGGATCATGTTGAAGTATGTCCTGATGCTGGGGTTATCATTCAAGAACTTTCTGAACGCATTGCACTCACTGGAGGTGCTGCACTAATTGCAGATTATGGTCATGATGGGACAAAGACGGATACCTTCAGAGTATGTATAGTCCAGTAACATGATTCATTGTTAGATTTGAAGCTCATTGAAGATCTTCATCCTTGGTTTTTACAGTGCCTAACATTGTTGTACATTTTATTATTAATTCATGTTGTTGTAATCACCTTTAACCCTCCATCCGGCTCCTAAAGCCAATATCCAACTATCTGTTGAACAGGGTGTGAATTACTTAAGTTCTTCCTTAATTGCAGAACCTAGTAAGCATCTGAGTAATACAAATGGATAGATTTTCTTGTAGTATGTTTTTCTGACCTGTCTTCATTTGACATGTTCCCACAGGCATGAACCACCAGTGTTAATACATGACGATCCCATTGTTACTAGTAACAAATGGATCTGGTCATTTTTATTGTTCTTTTTACTAATAAAATTAAATTGGAGCCACCTAGCAGTGAGAGATACAAATTCAATCAGAGCCACCTGGAAGCAAGACATACAACTTATGGCCCTGTCATGTTTAAAAATATTTTTGGTACTACTTTGCAGATTCAAACTATCATATTTTTAACATATCTTTTTCCTTTTCCACATGCATACTTTATCAACATCCTTTCTTAATGTTGAATATGATCAATTCTGATGAATATTTTACTGAAATATATTTAGCTATTTGTCATTTTTTAGATCTGTGGTTCTTAATTCTAACTGTATTATTGTCAATACAAATAACTTCGAAGACTTAAAAATGCTGAGCTCTGGCTTCACCTCTAGGATTGTGATCAACAAGGTTTGGATAGTCTGTTAAACAGTCATGTGAGTCTAGGTACAGTGGTTGATAGCTATACTATAAACACCTCCTAGGTTCCAATCAACCAAATTCATTGAGAGAATAAGATCATCTCTCTTCCACCACCATGAACATTAATGAAAATATTAAATAACTTTGTGTTAAGGGCAGCCTCTTTTGCACTTTATATTGGGGTTTCCATGTAGTATCTTATTTGTAAAAAGGGTGCTGCTGCATAGTGTAAACCACAGATTTAGGTCCTATTTTCCTTCCTAACAACTACCCATACAAATGTACTAATGTGCTAGCATTTCTTTGATCTCAAAAAAGATAGCCACAAAAGACAAACTCATTTCTTTTATGTTTAAGGGGTTTTGTGGCCATGAGCTTCATGATGTCTTAATTGCCCCTGGGACAGCAGACCTAACAGCCGATGTGGACTTCAGTTACTTGCGCAGGATGGCACAAGGAAAAGTAGCCTCACTGGGTCCAACAGAACAACAAACATTTTTAAAAAATATGGGTATTGATGTCCGGCTGAAGGTAATGGTTTCACTGTCATTAAATATTTTAATTTCACAGTATTTCAAAAATATGAATACCTGGTTAGGCAGCCTTACGCTTGTGAGGCAGGTGGCGGAACCACCGAGCTAAATCCCCAGCCCCTGGGTCTTTCAATAGTATAGGATTTAGTGTAACCAGACAGCTGGAGGCACAGCCTGGTAACTTTCATTGAGGGGTAGAATTAAGGCTTTCCAGTAGTATCCCTGTTCATTAAAAACATGTTCATGGGTATGAATGTTATAAGTGTTCTTCGGACAATACTTAAACTTACAGATTAAACTAGGGATATGTGTTAAGAATGCAGAACCATAAATTTGGCTTACAACAAACTACATTTTTAATAAGCATCCTATGAACTTTGGGCAAGTAATCAGAATTCACATTCTAAGCATTGCTATATTGGAATATTTGAGAGTCATTAGAGTGTTGTATCTACCTATGAATTCCTTCTTTTGGTTATTTTTGCTAAGAAATGTTTTCTTTTCAGGTTCTTTTCAATAAATCAGATGAGCCATCAGTGAGGCAGCAGTTACTTCAGGGGTATGATATGTTAATGAACCCTCAGAAGATGGGAGAAAGATTTAACTTCTTTGCCTTGCTACCTCATGAGAGACTTCATGGTAGAAGCCATCACATCAATGCATGCCAGTCAAGGCCCTCTGCATCCCCTGTGGCTGGGTTTGGTGAATTGGCTTGGCAGTGATATTTCAGCTTGCAGTTTTATCCTCCAGTTTGCCTAAGAAATCAAAATAAAGGGAACACATTTCATACATTTAAGGTAACAAAAGTCCTAATGTATTTTATCTCTTTGTAGTCAATAAAGATAGCCCATGTTATGTATAATGAAATAAAATTAGAACTTTTAGGGTTGTAACTAACTCTTGGTACAAATATGTGTTCTCAACTTAATTGGTACCGAGAACTTGAGTTTTCCTTTTAATAAAGCTAGTTGTTTTTTAAAGTACATGAGCCCTGATTGGTTTAATAAAAATATTGTAAAAGAGGAAGTAGAATAAGATATCTAAGATCTTACTAAGTGAAAAAGTAAGATGCCAAAATTTCTATGGTTATTATTCCATTTTTGCTGAAGAGGAAAGGCTACCTTTACATACTTACAAGTAATTTCATAGGAACTAATATAAATTTAGTTATAATTATTCTAAACTTTCCTTTTAAGAAATAAGTTCCTCAAATAATTACTTCAAAGTTAGTGTGCAATTATAAGGTCATTTTTGGGCAGGTAAATAAAGTCACTGTTCTTAAATGTACCATTTGTTCCATCCATATATATTATTTTCAGAATAGTTTTGTTATCAAGGCCTAGGAAAATAACACAATCAAGTAAGATTTTCTTTGGATCCCTCTCTTAGAGTTAGGCCAAGATTTTCACATGAAAAGTTTGGTGATACAGAAATACATTTTATTATCAAGCTTTTTGAGAATATTTACAAAAAGTGGCATGTAACAAAAAATATAAAAACGTACTGAACAGTGTCATTATAGATGACTTTGTACATTATCAAATGTTTCTAGCAAACAATTATTTCTTATACAAACACAATTTGACTTCAAGACATTTTGTTATCTGGAGTAATTACTCAACTCCAAATTATCTGACAGTGCCTTTACAAAATTAAAAAAATGTCTTAGGCATTCAACAAAAAGAGTGCAATTAATTTCATGGCTTGTAAAGTTTGATTATATAAGTTTAGCAAATGAACATAATTCCAGTTAATTTTCACCATATGCAGTAAAACTAGAGTAGGTTGCCTAGTGACTCAAAATTACTCCATTTTTAGGCATGTTGATAAAAACTTTGGAGGAATTTGGAGAAGTCATTGTCTATCACAGGGAAAACTCATTTATAAAAAGGATTCTCAAAACTAATTTGGTTAAATCTTTGTAACTGCTATGTGAAGACAAATTGAAATAGTGCAATGTCTCCTAGAGATATAGGTCTATAATGTAGCGTAATGGCCATGAGGGTTCATACTAACTGTGAACTTTGGGAACTAATCTCCTGTGCCTCAATTTCCTTATCTCTAAGATTCATAATGTACTTCCAATGTGACTTACTGTGAGGATAAATTAAAACATAATAAAGAACACAGAGGCATAGGGTAATATATTATTCTCTTAAGGATATTTTTAGTCCTAGATGAACAGCTTCAAAGATCTCTGAAGGCCTTCTTAGTCTGTTCACATATAAGAACATACTTTTCCTTTGCTCTCCCAAATTCAGTGGACAAATGAACACTTCTATATTTTTACTATTATTAAATACTCTTACTAAATATATTCATACATATCTCATCTCTATGACCACACTTTGAGGAAAGTGGAGGCAAGAATTATCTTCATTTCATAGACTGAGAAACTAAAGACTCACATCTGCTCAGGTCAACAGAGCTAATCTGACTCTAAATTATTTCTTTTACTTAGAGTGGAGTAGGAAAAAACAAAAACAAACAGGTTCATACTGATTAATAAACAAAAAAAGGCCACTATATTGCTTGTAAGTGGATGGTCCTAGATCTTAAAAGATTAAGCATCTTTAATGTGAAAATCTGAAAGCACCACCACTTTCAAAAAAGTTTTGGATTTTAGAGCATTTCAGTTACAGATATATGTAAATATTCCAAAATCTAAAAAACACTGAAACCTGAAACACTTCTGGTCCCAAGCATTTCATACAAGGGATATTCAACCTGTATTAGTAAATATTTTTAAAATAGTCCAATGCTGGAGCTGATATGTAAAAAGTTCTTAATCATTGTTTAGTTTGGTATATTGATGATATAGTTCAACTCTTATAAGCTGTTTCATGTCTACCTCTAATCCACTCCCCCAGACTGCTTAAAATTAAATAATTTAAAAACATTCCAGATATTGTAAAGCCCTCCAATAGGCTAAGGGAAAAAAAAAGATAACACTTTACTACAGAGTGACAGCAGAATGAACTGACCCTTCATTGGCCTTCCTTTTAATATATATTTTTTGCCCCAAATTATTCAATCCTAGGTAAAAATAAATTATGTAACTGAAGTTTAGATATGCTCCCATCTGTGTGGCATCTGCATGGTGTTCAAGTGGGAACATGAATGTTTACCACAGCTGAGCTATGAGAAGGCACGCGTAACCATTCAGCACTTGGAACAGTTCCTACAGTACTCTGTTTTGTAATACCAAGCGTCCTCAACCTCAGTAGCTATTACAATGTACTCACAAAAGGCGATAATTTCTTATGCTGTAGAGAACATATTAAGAGCTGCAGTTCCAAAAAAGATTAGAAATCGCTGTGTTAAAGTCTGGACTGACATCAAACCAAAGGTAAAACAGTCCAGTGCTCCTCTTGTATGCATCTAGGAAAAACTTAAATATTTTGGTGGTCAGGCAATCATTTAAAAGTACTTTTGTAGATCATATACTGTTAGCCTCACAGTTAATTCTAAATCCAATAACTGGCTGCTAGCTTGCCTTTTTAAAAAAATGATGTAAAATTAGGAAAGGGAAGATAAATTAAATGGCATTACTGTATTTAAAAGTGAAGGATTAGGAAAAAATACAAAATCAGTTATTGCTTATGCTACAAAAATTTATAAAAAGTTTCATCTTAATTCCTTTGTGTTTTTTATTACTGTTTCCCTTCCTGTACCTACTCATGAACTACAGTATTGGTGTCACCAATGCTTTATCGTATTTCATGTCTTTGCATCCTTGCAGATGTCAACCTACAAGGAACAGTTATGCAGCAAAATATTAGTCCATAAAATGAAACCCTTATTGAAGTTAGTTTACTGATAATTAAGGATCTTCTTCCATGTCATCCGGATTAGGAGCCATAATGAAGTGCTTTGGGTATACCAGGTTATGTGTGTATGCATGGATTTCCCAGCGAGCATCATCACTTTCATGTGTAATGTAACGTTCTCCGATGCGAGTTTCAAATTCTCTAAGGTCAAGCCACGTCTGATAGTCCTAGGAAAAAAATGAAATGATTATGAACTATAAAATAAAACACTGGCAGCCTTTTTTTTTGCTTAGCACACTAATCATTGATAACCGCCACTCATAAGTTTTTGCTACACAAGTTCTAACTGGAATATTTTAAGTTGGCTATGTTGAAGATACTTTTTCATCAGGATCTCTAATAAATGAATGTAAGTAGTTTCTGAAATTAAAAAATAAAAAAATGTTTCCAGGTTCTGAGGGAGCTAATAATCACTAAAATATTTTGTTCTGTATTGTTGGAGGCCCAAACCCAAACCTTGGTTAATTCTACCCCTCATTTCCCTTTAAAATAGTTCTAAGGCTTCTCTCCTTACTCTGAAGCATTGAGTTTTGTGTGTGGGTTTTTAAAATTAGTACATGTGTGCCATACATTCGCTGTGTATGTGGTACGTGTACATGACACATTTTAATTCTTCTCTATGTCTCTTTCCCTCCCCCTGCTTTTTACTTCCCTCTATCCCCTGGTCCCTTCCCATCGCAGAAGATCTATCACCTTTTTTCCTTTTATTTTGTTCTTTATAACTCTGGATTTCTCATATGAGAAAAATCATATGGTATTTAAGCTTGTGCATCTGGTTTATTTCACTTAACATGTTTTCAAAGTGTGTCCATTTTGACAAATTATGCAATTTGGTGGAACCAAGTCAAACATTTCAGATTGTATATGGGGTGGGGGTGGGGTCTTTTCAATGCAAGAATAAACCTTTCAGTGAACATCTAAAATAAAACATAGCTGACAAAATTGTATGTTGTTAATCTTACAAAAAATATCAATTCATAAAACTCTAATGAAGACTAATTCACTGCTTTTAGTTCATGAAAGTATTATTGCCTATCAATGCTAATTTGAATGATACACAACTTTTGGAGATGCAGCCGTACAAATCATAGTGAACTGCTTATATAAGGATCACCAGAGATTGTTTTTACCTGTAGCCAGGGATGGCTAAGAGATTTGTCAACACTGTAACGTTTCCTCATCTTAACTTGAAGCAGGTTGTTTATCAAGTCGATCGCTAAGGGAAAATACAAAATTAGATACATAACTTTAGGTGTGTAAAGTATCCCAAACCCATGACTCTGCCCACAGTCAGTGTCTACTTCAGAGAAATGCAGCATTGAGGAAATGGTACCTCTCAAGTTCATACTTTCAACATGTAAAGTGGTCCATGAATACTTACTAAGTTAAGTATGCCTGTAAAATTTTCATTTTATTAAGGCGATATATAGAGAGTACAGGTTCAGAATACACACTTTGAAGCCATACTGCCTGGATGAATACATACCATATCATACTTATTAGTGGTGCAATATGGGGTCAGTTACTAAACTATGTTGTGCCCTGGTTCCCTCATCTGCAAAAATGGAACTGTTGAGAAGATAAAAGCAACTTAATATATGTAAAAGACTTAGCATCTAAGTGCTATATATTAACATTCTTTCAAGATGAGTAAAACAGACTAATGATGGGCTTATTTATTTCTTCCAATGATACCATGTTGCTCTCTATTCCCATCATAGTCTGGAAGAGCAGCCAAAGCTATTGCCTTGCATCTACAGATACGGTTGCAATGAAATGATAACTTATTACCAAATGTTCACACGATACAGGTTTTAATAAATAGGTTCAAGATGTTTTGGTGTAAATGGTGAGATCTTGTCATACATTTTTAGTTATTTGCAGAAATGGATCAACTGCAAAAACAAGGCAACTATAAAAGTATGTATTGATTACAGCCTTGCATAATGAAATATTTGAAACATGGATATGAAAGTCTAGGCCTGTGATAGCGAACCTTTGACAGGCCAAACTGCAACCCAAAACCCACTTATTTGTTGCAAAGTGGCCAACAATGCAATTACACCTGAGTTCTTTACAAAAAAATCAACTCCTACACTTGGCTTGAGTGCTGACAGACAAGGCTGTGTGCCTGCTGTGGCACATGTGCCTTAGGTTTGCCATCCCTGGCCTAGGCCCATGGAGAGGCCAAATGAAGGACATACCATACTAATTATATTTCTCTACCACATATCAAATTAGCAAGGATCTTCCATAAGTACTTTAATTATGAATTTCTCTGTTCCAAATACTGCAAAATCTTTATTCCTTAAACTGTGGTTCATTATTAGTATCATTTCAGGTATTTATTTAAAATGTACATTCCTGAGTTATTCCAACTGGTGAATCTAAATCTGGGGGATATGCTGAAAGGTTTTTCTTCTAAAGTGATTCTCATACAAGAGGTATATACCACATTGCCATTGTAGCTCTGAGATGACTTTGGTAGGATTCAAAAAAAAAAGCTGGGGATTTAGGTTAGTGGCGCTGCACCTGTGTTGCAAGTGCAAGGCCCTGAGTTCGAGCCCTGGTACAGGGGGTGGGGAGGGTTCCCATGAACTTACCAGTTGTGTCCATTACCATGTGAACCTGGCTACTGTCCTGACATTTTGTTCCTCAAACTTTCCTCAATTTAATGGAGTATTTATCAGCCTTTATAATTAGACCCAGTACTTTTGGGGGGTGGGGGGACCCTACCTGTTCCCAGAGTTGGCACAATCCAGGTAGAGAAATTTCCCAACATAGCTTCTATTAACTTCTAGGGCGCTGTTAAATGTTTTAAGTGGTATACTCTGTCAGTGACAGCAGACTAAAGACCACCCAATTCATTCTTGATGAGTATAGAGCCAGGGGTTATAAACTCAAAAGGAAAAACAAATGTATGAAGCTTCACAATACAGGTCCATATGAGGACTGAAAACAAAATGAACTGTCTGTTCAATATAAAGCTCATTCTAGGTATAGAGAACCTAAGCTATAGGTCTCCATTCAAGGAGCTTACAGACAAGAATGATCAAAACAGTTAAGAAAAAAAAGTCCTAATGAGCTTAAATAATCTGTTTAGAGAAGGGGCAGTCAGGGAGAACGCATGGTGATTCACAAGTTAAGGGGCCCTAGAAGGACTAGGACTACAATAGTGAGGACTGCAACATGGTTTTAGGGAAGCTGAGCTGGGTGTGGCATACATCCAAAATCTCAGCATTCTGGGAGGCTGAGACAGGAGGACCACAGGTTTGAGCCCAGCCCTGGGCAACTTAAGACCTTGTCTTAAAAAATAAAGGGCTGGGGATGTAGCTCAGTATGAAGGCCCTGGGTCCAATCTTCAGTACCATGGGGTGTATCTGTGGGAATGGATTAAGATGAAAATAATGCTGCCTGAAGATAATTTCACAGTGGTGACTGGGAAGAACCAGAAAAGTATAATGCAGTGGTGGTGAATCTACTGCATCCATGTTGCAGTGTGTGTGTTTGTATCACTGAAAGCTCTAAAAGGTTTGCCATCCCTGGAATAGATAGGACAATTAAAAAGATACATTAGTTTCAGAATGAGGCTGTTGGGGCCTGGATTACTATTAAGTCTGGGAATTAAAAAAAAAAGTGTAAAAGGTAGAGTGTTCAGAAACTGGTAACTAGGGAAGTCAGATGAGACAGGCTGAGATCACAAAGATTTTTTAGATGAAAGGGCACAGAGTCAAAATTAATTTAGTTTTTACCTTCGCTAGAAATTTCTCTCCATGGATTTGGTGGGTACATAAATGCAGCATTTTGGATTTGGTCGTTTATATCTTCATCCTCATTGAATGGAAATGTACCACTGAGGCTCACATAGATGATGACTCCCACTGACCACATATCTAGAGAACGGTTGTAACCTTTACTCCTGAGAACCTCAGGGGCTAAGTATGCTGGAGTTCCTACTACTGATCTCCGGAATGACTTCTCACCAATAATGCGTGCAAATCCAAAGTCACACAGCTTCACCTGGAAGTCAAGGGTGATGTTAATTTTACATATGTAACTATTTATCAAGCAGGTCTCTCAATGTGGTATCGGATCATTTCAATGCACTTGCCAACTGTATTGATTATGACTACTAAACAACTGTAGATAAGGAACTTGAAATACCCTTTTTCCAAACAGGATATATTGATAGCTCTGTGACACTAACAGTATAAAGAGCTTTCCAAATGTTTATTTTAAAAAAACCTTTTGTATTCTATCCAACTACCAGACTGCTATTTCAAGGGTTCAGTATTTTTTAAAGGAAAGGAAGATGGTGATCTTTTCTTATCTACCTTATAAGGAGATCACTTTTCTATTATCTATGAGCAGGAACTGTTTTATTTCTGAACCCTCAATGAACTTTCAATGTCTGGACACATGAAAGTAGAGTATTAATAAATGAATGAAAAATTAAGTTATAATCTTTAGAAACAGCCTTCATTTTGCTTAATCCTAGAATTTTTTCCCAAGGACACTATATATTGACAAGTGAATAAAACTGAGTAATATTAGATAACTGTTAATGTGAACAGAAGAGAAATGCTTGAGACTGTTTCACGAAATAAGAGGATTTTCTATTTCTGTGGGACAAATTATGGCTAGTTAAATGTTAAGACTTGAAAAAAGCTGTGAAGGTAGCCCCACTGTCTACTATGTCCTCAGAGGAAGAGAGTTCTGGAAGTGTAGTGAGTTCAGAACACTTAACTTACTGCCCATCTTTTTGTAGAGGTTCAGATTTTGGTGATTAATAACTATTTATGCTGAAGAAGCAAATGCCAAGTACTTTCCTGAAGAAATGCTCTGACTCACAGAATCCTTCAGAAAAAGCATTAAGTTCACAGAAAAGGGACTGGACTTCTAGAAAAAGTGGTACAAGTAACCACTGGGGAACAAAGAAGTGTAAGTGTCATGCTGCATGTTATTTCTGGGATACGGATTCTGAGATGATTTTGCAAAATATACCTGGCTCTGAGTCATTACTGAATTTGCTGCTTCTCTACTTGAATATTTAAAGAGTAGGAGTACAGACCTTGAAGAAATATTCTTTCTATCCCTCTCATTAAATGCCAGGTTTTAGCTGACATCTTGATAAAGATGATTGAGCATTTTGGCAACTGAATAAAGTATGGTCAGAGCTAACAGTTGAGCAAGGAAGATTATCAAGTAAATAACATTTTTTCCCCTTTTCCTAATGGGAACAATGTGGATCACAAAAAGTAGAGATCAAGAAATTGGGAGTTTTAGCTTTAACCACAGGGTGTACACCCTTCACCTATGCTATTCTGAAGGTCAAATGTGATCATTTATAAACAGTTTATTTAAAACATTGCACCAACTATTAGGGGAGCTGTTCAAATCTCAAAATGATAAGGAATCACTTTAACTACATAGGCTTTAAGAACATGATTACAAACAAAACAAGCAAACAAACAAAAAACATGATTACTATTTTAAAAGTGAAAGAATAGAATGATTTTTTAAAATACATTTTTTTTCATCAGATGTGAGGGCACATCCATAATCCCAGCCACCTGAGGCCGGAGGATCCCAAGTTCGAGGCCAGGCTAGGCAACTTGGACCCCTGTCTCAAAATAAAATATAAAAAAGGCTGAGAATGTAGCAGTACAATTGTTTCAAAATTGAGTTATGATTTATTTAGCAGATTATGAAATAAATTTAGCTGATCAAGATGAGCATGTTTTTTAAAAAATGAAACTCAACCGAATTACATACAACCATGAGCATTCCTGGTGATGGGAAATGTAATTATGTTGCTCATGAAAATGTCTGAAATATAGTACCCTAAAGAAAAATCAGTTGGCTACCTATCTCAGTAAGTCTTTTATCTTCCATTTTAGGTAACATCTCCCAGTTTGTTTTAATTTATGAAGCATTTATCCTGGAGCACCACATCACTAAGACTAATTCCTCCCACTTCACTCCCAACCGGTGGGGAGAAGTGAATTGCAAAGTATGTGGAAAAAGTTATTCCTTGATATCTAGTTAAGTCTGGAAAAGTCTTAGTGAACATAAACAATATGATTAATGAAAGAATTAAACTTAGTTAATCCTCACTGGCAGTGACAGACTAAAAATTTTATTTCTGTAAGATGGGATATACTCTGAACCTTAGTACACCACCTTTTTTGTGTGGGCACTTTGTAAATGATGCAGATACATAAAATGATTCTTCAGAAGGTTCTGGAGAGTATCTCACCTGAGGAAATGGTTCTGCTGATGCAAGCAGAACATTTTCTGGCTTTAAGTCACAGTGCACAATATTCTTAAAATGCAGATTCCTCAAAGCAACAAGTATCTGTAATTAAAGAACAAAAATTTTTTTTCAATGTCTGGAAAAACTAATTTGAAAACCCCATAAACACTTTATCAAGGTTTTTAGCTGTAAATGTTATTTTGTTTTTCAAAGTTAACAATGCCCATGATCTCTTAATATGTAAAAGCACTGCTATTTAATTCTCTTAGTTTTTAATTATTGTCTAGTTTCAGAAAAGAGTTAAAATACCTGTGTGACCATAAACTTAGTAATTCGTTCTGGAAGCCGACTTTTCTCACTAGACAGAATCATTTCCAACATATCTCCATGTAGTTTTTCCATTACTACAAAGACTCGCTCTGGAGTTTCAAACATACATTCCAGATTTACAATCCCAGGATGGTGCAAATTCTGGAGAAGTTGCAGGACAGTTAAATGACTAACAAATAGAGAAACAGTTTTAATACACAGATATCTAGCATGCTGTAATCAAGTGTATGACATACATGTTATAAAAAGAAAAGGTTTAGAAAAATAAACTGAAAACAAATGAAAAAGACAGCCAATAAAAAAGGATCATAGATTCTGATTTTCCAAATTGTGCACTGACTGGAAAATGGATGCAATGAAGGGCAAGAATGCCCTCCTTTCCATTTCTTCTGTGTATGTGTCTAAGATACTTTTATGTTTTTCTTTATTTTTTTGCTTGAACTACTTTTTTTTTTTTTTTTTAATTTTTACACTGTCACACCAATCCAAAGACCCAGCTTCTGGTTTTAGTGTATTCTTTTCTTTACTGGTATCATTTTTACTTTTGTTAATCTCCTCTCCTTACATTTATTTTATTGTTCATTCTTTTAAATTTTTGAGTTTTATTCTTAAAGTCATTTATTTTTATTCTTTCCTGCTTGATACTTGAGGTAATAAAACTTTCTCTGAAATGATAGTCCAAAGGCTCTAATATATATACAGTATTTTCATGATTATTTTCTAAATATTCTAAATTTTGATTTAAAGTTTTTAGATAGTGGCAGCTTTGTTTTCTAATTTTGTAACTGACGTTGGCTTTTATTACATTAAGATCAAAGAATACTATTTATCCTGCTTTTTTAGTTGGGGGGGTTGTTTTTAGGATACATTGTTATGTATGCAGTAGTTAGGTAAACCTTATTCTGTTTAGCCTCTGTACTTAATTTTGTCTGCTCCATCTGGTATGGACTACTAATAGTCTTGTGTGTTTCTTCTCATGTCTTTCTCACTTTCCTTTATAAAGGTGATGCTATTATTTGTTACAGAGTGATTTATAGTCTTCTATTGGTAAATTGCCCGTCTTCATTTCATGTTTTCCCTTTCTTGTCTGATCATGGCCTTCTTGGCTTTCTTTTGTTTGGGAAAGGAACCTTGGGAGGACATCACAGCTCTGTAGGTTTCAGAACCAGCAAAACAACTTTCATTGTGGCCCATCTTCCTGCGTGTGGCCCATATTCATCCACTGTTTTGGGAAAATATTCTATGCCGTTTGTATGTATGGATTCTTATTTTTATTAAAGGTATACTCTTTTATTATTATTCTTGTAGCTCTGGAGTGATTTCTGAGAAGGGGAAAATGCTAAATTTATACCACATTGTTCAAACCTGAAAGTTTCTAAGTTTCTGATAATGTTTCCCCATTTAAATACTTCCATATGAGAACAACACACCCTCTCCCACCACCCTATTATCCTCTTCAGGAAAGCAAACCAAACGCTCTTACTATATATCTAATGAACAAAAGTACCCCCCCACCCCGTCCTACAATGTGCTCCCCAGATGGAGTCATATTATTAATCTATGTAAGTTATAAATCTTTTTCTACATATAACACTTTTTCACTTAACAGTATGTTGTAGATAATTTCACACATAAACACATGAATATTTTTCATGTGCCTAGTACTGTGCAGGTAGTCTTGATTCATTAATAAAACTGACACTTGTCTCATGAAGCTTATTAATTCTAGCAAGGCGACACAGACAACAGGAAATAAACCAGTAAACTACCTAGAATGGAACTGGTAAGTATAATGGAGAAAAGAAAATGAATTAGAGTACCGGAGTTACTGTAAAGGTGGGGTTTAATGCTGAATACAATGTGAGGGATTCAAATTCTGAAGAAATGATATTTGATGATACATCATGAAGATATCTGAGAGAGAAAGTATACCCAGCAGAGGGAACCACTCATGCAAAGCCCTTGAGACAGGAGCATGTCTGGCATGTTTGAGAAACAGCAAGAAACTCAGTGCAGTCATTATTTGGAAAAGACACTGAATTTGTTAGAATCTTTTAAAAGAGATTTTTGTTCTGCTTAATAAACAATAATCACAGGTGTCCAAAGTGGCATATGTTTATTTCTATTAAACTGACAATTCAGAGTCTATCACCAGGTGCCCAAGAGGACAGGGTAAACTGTAAGGTTACTTCTAAATAATGATTCTATGATATTTTTCCCCTCCTTGCTACTAGAAAGGGCATAGCTGTGGTCTCAATAACGTGCTCAAGTGTTTATCCTATTATTTTAAAAATGTAGGCATGAGTCACCGGTGCTTGAGGCACCTGCTCAACCTCACTTCTCTCCTGATGGAGGCCTGGGGGGCCTGAGTGAGAAGCAGGGACCATGTTCCCATGCAAGCTGACAGCTACCACAGCCCTGCCGGCTGCAAATGCAAAGATGAAACAGAATTTAGAAACTTAATTTTTTGGACTGAAGACCAGAAAATCAGACACTACAAGACTGAAGACAGGTGATTTAAGAAACATCCATAGCAGTGAATGGCTCAAGTTCTTTGCAGTGTTATCTCAGAGATGTTAACTGTCCTTTCAAGATTCAGAATGGTCAGGAAGCAATTGACTGGCTTCATGGTTTAGCTATTAACTTGAATATGGAGATAATTCTGGATAACACAAGGATTTAGCATCTGATAATGGAAAAAATATTGACAATGTAACTAAGAATGCAGAGCCATGATCAATTTGGATGTAAATACAGTAATCTCAACTTTAAGTCTGGGGTAATGGCTTTGGCTAACCTCCTTCACCTGGTAATGCTTAAGGCAATTCACATTTTGGTTCTGGAGCACCTAACAGAGGATGTAGTTGCTAGAGCAAATCAAACAAGAGGGCTTGCCTGTTGCTTTAGACAAATATTCTTGGTCATGACACAGGAGACGTGGTTCTTAGAGAAGCTCACATTGTGCAATTGCTGCATACAGAAGAACTCAGAGAGCTACAGAAAAAAATGAATGAGGCCATAGTATTATAGGCAGCTAAGTTAGGTAAAATATAGGCAGTCATGCAGGGCCAAGCCCTCAAAGAGTTAGGACAAAAGGTGAAAATACACTGCAACTGAAGCCAGAAACATGAGTTGGGGGCCAAGCCTCAATAAAAACCACAAAAGGATCAGACCTACATACTTCCCCCCCAAGGGATGAGATAAGTGAATACTTCCTCTAGTAAAGTCTAGAGAGGCATCAGTCATCTCAGCAGGTGACCAATAAGACCCCCATGATGGTAGGTATCCATCACCTAACCTGAGAAGTTCTTTGTTCTTTCATCTCTTGCTACATGATTTGCTTCCCTGTTGATCACTATTACTTAAGCAACTATACTTGTAACCTTATGGCTGATCATAGCTTTAATCCACATTGTACCCACGTAATTTTTGCTCTATAAAAACTTTCCTGTAAAGTGGGATCCTCGCTAACGAATTGGGACACCTCCTGCCTCTCAGGAGCTATTCTTTCAATAAATGTTTTCCTACTTTTAACCTCTGTTGCTCCTAGAATTCTTTCTTCAATTTTATGGAACACAAACTCGGCATATCAGACATCTAACAGGTTGGGAGTTATAATATTTCCCTTATATCACTTGGAGGTCCTATTTCATCTCCTGTAACAACAGTAGCTGTTCAGGCAATTATTGCTGATCCAAAGACAGACAACAGACAGGGGAAAATTGGAAGATGAACACTAGATTTCAGCTTCTTACCTACTTAGTACAAATGGGGCAGGGGGACAGGTAACTTCTAGCGTGTATGTGGAAATCAATTCTCACTTTTGAGGGAGGAAATCCCAGAAAATTGACTGTTCAAGAGATTTACCACCATCATTGCTTTTTTTAAAATAAAGTTTAAGTGGAAAAAAAATGTGGATATGGGAAAGATAAGCTATGGATACCACGGGTGCTGCAGGTGAAGAGAACAGCACCAGCATCAGCTACAGGAGTTCAGCCAGCCTTCTAGGTTTATTTGAAGAGGACCACACATAAGAACATCATGAGGTAATAAGAAAAGTAAAGATGATATAGTTGGAGGGAGAACAAAAAGCCAAAAGTGCTCTAAGTGTAAGAGTGCAGCAGGTGCCCTTCAATCCATGTAAAAAAGTCTACCTGGAATGCTCATATGACTAAATCTTGGGGAACTAATTTCAGTAAATGAGGTATTATTTGCAAAACTTCTCATCTAAAAATGTATTCATTGTGTGAATTTGGACAGTGTTAACAAGATTACAGTATTTCTATACCAAGTAGGGCAGAAGTTCATTTTTATTCTATAGATTTTGTTGAATTTACACATTGCAGAAGAAAACCTGAGTCACAATTTTACATGTGCACAAAGGCAGAATAGGTCCAATAAGGTAACAAAGAGTGAGCATGTAGTTTGGAGAGATTCAGATTCTGAACCTGACTTGTTCCTGCTGAGTAATATTGAGAAAAAGTATATAAGTACAGATTCTAGCACAAAGTAACCCATTTACTAAATAAACAATTTGTTTATGTAACAATTTGAACAGAGGCTACAACAAAGAATATTAAAGTTAGTAGGAAAATAGTATATGTAGAGACACACTACAATCATTTTACTCTATTTCCAGTTGGGCAATATTGATAAAAATAACCAGAAAGATATAATTGTTTTTCATACTGCATTAATTGAAAATTTCTAAATTTAGTTATGAGCTACAATTAATATACAGAAAAAAGTGCTTCAGTACTTAGTCCAGAGTTCGTCATCAAAGTACCAAGGAGAAATCAATGCGTAGAAATATATTCTTAATTTTTTTTGCATTATTAGTTGTACAGTAAGATTCTAAAATTAAAAATGCAGAAGTATCTTAACAATACATTCACACTTTAATACAGAGTCTAATGCTATTGATATCCTATTTAAAGTTAGCTTTATAGGAGGAAGCAGGCTTGATATGAAATTAGGTATCCACAGACTACACACTTTTGACCACAGTTACAACTGGTGATTAATAATGTAATAAATGTAATATGACTCACTTTTGAAGATTTTCTTTTCTTCAATGAACCATAAGTTCAGTAGGCTATGTCTTCTTGAATTTCAGTCACAAGTAAATGGGAGTCTGACAGCATTAACTATTACATGACCATGATTTCTTAACTAATATGCAAAAGCTATATAATGAATTAATACTTTTGCATACTGTCAATATTTACATGATATTCAGACAAAAGATCTAAGGATCAAACTAAATTTTAGTTTACTAGATGATCCTCCAACAGAGGTAAAAATGTTAGATGAAAGCAAAACACATACATTTATTTTGTGGGATTTAAGTAACTGCTAATATTTCTTTAAAATATACCTTAATGGACTAAACCATTACAAAATTATAGTTTTTGAATTAATTAAAAAATGCTACTTGTAGAAAGGCATATTGTTCTTCATCAGTCTTTATAATAACTGCTATAACACATCATTTGTGAGAATTGGATGAATACAATAATGATGTAATGAAATGTAGAAGTATCAAAGTATTTTGAACTAGAGTGATGAATTAAGAATAAAATTTTACTATTTTTTCAAGAGTACTTATAAAAGTATATTCTAAATAAGCTACTACTATTCAGCAGAATAGTGGCAGTTCTTAATGCCTACATTACTATAATCTTAAAAAAAGGAATTACGTAGTTTATTCATATTTTTTCCAGCTTCCTTCTTAGCCAAATGATTATAAGAATAAAACAAATACCAAATCTATTCTTATCTGCACACTAAACAGACTCAGAGTCAAAAACTGATAAAAATATAAAATTAAAGCCTCATAAGCCTTTTTTTACCTGTAAAATAGCCACTTCATTACGGAGTTGACTTTCTTGCTTTGTGGGGAACCTCATCTTATCAATTACTTTAATAGCCACATCTCTTCCTGTCTTTCTATGTTTTCCTATTAAAAAAGAAGCAAGGTGACAGCTCATATACAAAAAAATCCCAAAAAACTTTATTAGGAAGTTGCCCACAGACTGAAATTTGTATGTACTTAAGTAGTATCTTGTTCTTTTGTTCACTTTCTTTCTCTATATTTCTTTGCTTACTTTTCATTTTAAGAAATACGTTTTTCCTGTACAGTATTTGCCCTGATAAAGGAAGTTTCATGATTGAAAATGGCAGAAAATGAGTGAACTTGTTTGCTGAAAATAATCTACCTTGTTAAATAAATGACAGTTAAATGTCCTGACATAGCCTTGAGAGACTATCAAGATGGAGATATTATACTAGTAAGTTAATTTTACTGGCTACCCTGGTAATTAACCACTTATTATACCCCACATTCCAGTCCTCATACTTCTAGAATCTAGATAGAAGAGCTTTATAAGGCAGAAATATATAAGGCAATAAAAAAACACAGTCCTTCATCCATCAATTCAAAGTAATTAGTTGCCCTGTACCTATGATATATTAGGCATTGTTTTAGATGTAAGGGATTAAGCAGTAAAAACATCAGTAGATTTTTGATACTACTTCTTTTAACCTGTAAGATAATTGATGTTCTCTATGTAACTATTTATTTGAAAATAACTCAGCTACCTTGAGGGCACAGTAATAAAAATATGACTACTTGAAAAGACTAAAGTGCATATTTGGTAAGACTCTAACCGTACCTCAGACGGTTTTCTGACCTTTCAATAAGAAGAGGTCTTGAAGAGATGTCATTAGTCTTAAAGCTGATAAATTTGAAGTGGAAGAATTTAATTCTTTCCACAATTCTGGTGGAAGAATTTAATTCTTTCCACAATTCTGGTGAAAGAATCAAGTTTGTGAAACAAGGTACCACCGTATTGCATAAGCATGTAAAATCAACACATCTTCTGGGTGATTACTGTATGTCAAAGACAATGATAGATATGAAGAATACAAATAAAACCTATACACTTCTCAAGTCATACTCAAAGTTCAATAGGAAAACAATAATAGAAACCCAAAGTGTTATAGATACGGTGATAGAACAGCAGGAGCACCAAGAAGGAATAATCCGGAAAGATGGGGATGGACATGAAAATCTTAAGAGTAAGCCCTTCGAGTATGAAAAAATATTCATTAGCTGGACAAAGTACTGGAGTAGGAGCAGAGACAAAATACAGAGGCATATAAATATGTCTCGAAGAAAGAAGCAGAGAGGGAATTGTAATAAGATCAGACGCTAGAGAAGCTGGGAGAAATCAGAGGCTTGTATGCCCTGCAAAGAATACTGGCCATTAATCTGCAGACAACAGTAAGCTATACAGGAGTGCTGTATGAAGTAATACTAATATCTGATGTGAGTTTTCTGAAAAGATTCACTCCAAGAATGGTTGTGAAAAGGGGCAAGACTGGAGGCAGAAAGGCCAATGAGACTATTGTAACAGTGTCGATAAGGGACATAAGGGACATTTCTTTTGTATCTCTGATATAGATTTTAAAGGACTTTTAGATACCCATTATATTTAATATTAACAATCCTCAGAACTACGCAGGTCAAGTTTTATTAGCTCCATTAAACACATGAAGATACCAAGACATAGGGAGATTAAAAAACCACCTCAATACCGAAAGTCACACAGCAGGCCAAGATTTCTGGTGTCCAGACCTGATAGAGCATTTGTGCCAAAGGCAGACAAATAATACTATTTATGTGGGGAAACTAGTAGAGAATGTACTTCAGTGAGCAAATCTACACAACCCAACAGAAACTTCAAACCACCCCCATCCCACAAACGCCTTTATGTGGGATCTAGAAGAGGAGATAAAGACTATTACAAAAACTAATTTTCTGATTCCTTCACTATTACTTTTTAAATTTTGCAGTTGAAATTAAGGAAGAAATATTCAGTTTTAGTGAAAAGAATTTAGTCAAAAGGATGTAAGTCAGCCTTTGAAAAAAAGGCCACTTGATTAAATTATGGCATGATAAAATAGCTGACAGATGTTTTTACATTTCACAATCTTCCTATATTACACAGAATTTACAAAAGGCTGTAGCTGCTTACCTCCGTACACAATGCCAAACTGGCCTGAACCAAGGACCTCATCTGCAAAGATCTGGTAAACGGTACTGATGTCCTATCAGGAGAGAGAAAGCAGCATTACTTATCTCTATAAAACAATGTCAACATGTCTGACTCAAACACTCAAATATATTTTTGGTTTTTTTGTTAAGAGGTAATTTTTATAAAGTACAAAATATTTTTATGAAACTCAGGCCTTCTCTATTCTAGAAAAAGTTAAGCCCAAATTTTACACTATGATACTAATGTGCAAGCATAAAGTATTCTATAAGAAGACCTTTAGGGAAAAAACTTTTTGAAAAAAAAAAACTTGTACTTATTACATGGTGATCTAAAAAAAAAGAAAATTTACATAAAAAGTTAAGAACAAAGCTTCATTTTACCAGTAAAGAGACTGCTATCTGAGCAAAAGTTTATAATGGGATTAGGCTGATTCTGAAAGACTGATTAAAAAAATATAAGAGAAAGTCTAACAAAAATCAATTCTTTTAATCTTCCTCCCTCTTTTACTCTTTCCCCTACTTTTTTGTTAGTGCTTGTTGCTGTCAGAATACTCATGCAGTAACTTAATGTGTGTATAGTGTCAGAACTGCATCACAGGTATGACTGACAAAAGAAACACTAATGGAATTCCTCTCAGCAGACCCACACTCAATGACAAAGCCTCAGCCCTGCAACGAAGGCCAGTAAATGGCAAATATATGTGTTAGATTATAATGAAAATTTTAAGGTTTGTAAAACCTTAAAATTAAAGTTGCTTCTCAACTTTAATCAATTTTTAAACTTAAATTTTGGTTTCAATCATATTAGACAAGTGGGCATTTCAATGTCTATATGAGTGCCAGAAAAGGTTTCTTTTTTTCTGTACTGAGGATGGAACTCAGGACCTTGTGCTTGCCAGGCAGGCGCAGCATCACTGAGCTACAACCCTGGCCCTAGAAAAGGTTTCTAATTCTGAATCTTTTTCCTTCATAGTATAGATGGATATATCCTCAGTTTCCTGTGGGATCATTCAGTTTGTGCTTTCATCTTCATATCACTTTTTCTCTCTCCAAGAATATGGTATCTATTCTAGCTACCACCAAGATAAGAGACAAACATTGTATTTCCCGAAAAACCTCTATCTCCAACAACAATACTAGATATTTAGTCTTCATTGCAATCTTAGAAATTCCGAACATTACATGTTAAACAACTATAAAAGCTAAATGCCCCAAGTGAAAAACAAATGAGAAATTTTTATGAAGAGAACTTCTAAAGAATAATGTTCTGACTTTATTTTGTAGTCTTTTTCATTATAATCTACAGGATGGCATGCTGGTTTGTGGGCCAAATCCAGCTGGTTACCTCTGTTTTTACCTCTTGATCTAAGAAAAGCTTTTAAATTTTTAAGTGACTGGACAAATCCAAATAGTATTTTGTGACATGTGAATATTACACAAGATTCAGTTTCAGTACCCACAAATTTTTACTAGCAGACAGTCACGGTTACTCATTTATGCACTGCCTATGGCTACTTTCTTGCCACAGTGGCAGAGTTGGGTATTTCTATGTATGTAGTTCATAAAGCCTTCTCGCAGGGACCTTTTCAGGAAAGTCTGCTAAGATATTATAAAATCCTCCATGTACCTATAGATAACAGCTAAACAAATCTATTCACCATTCCTCAAAAGTCCTGCATTTCTGGGTTCTTTCTATTTTCATATCCTGGTCCCTGGTCTTGCATAAAGTGTTGTCTCCTTTCCAACTTCACCCCAGCCAAGTAGCCTCTCCACAGTCTAATTTCAATTTTTAATAGTCTAATGTCACTTCTTTTAGTGAAAAAGTTAACTCTATTTTTGTAATTTTAAAAATATGCCTTAGTTACTGCCATCAAGCAGAACTCCTTAGGGAAGTTATTACTCATAAAGTATAGCTTACTATCTAAGGCAAACTGCTCAATATTTTGGGTTATGACCCTATTTCTCTAAGATTTTCACATTTTATTATCCTTATTTTAATCATCCAATATTCACATATTAGCTGTAACTATTACTTACCACATTCTCCTGGATCTGACAATTAGATACAGAGATACTGGTAGACAAATCTTCTGTGAAAAACAAGAATGACATACAAGAAAAGAACAAAATTATTAACATATTTATTGACACCCGAATGCCCATGGAATGTGAAACTTGAAAATTAGGGTAATACATATTAGTTAATATGTATATTAAAATGTATCTATACAAACAGTATTAACCTATTAATAGGCTATTGGTTAAATAAAATATGACATTTCTATAAAAAGTAATACTCTAAGCCAGCCATGATGATGCATGCCTGTAATCCTAGCACTCTAGGAGCCTGAGGCAGGAGGATGTCAAGTTTAGGCCCAGCCCACGCAACTCAGCACCTGAGACCCTGTATCCAGAAAAAAAAAAAAAAGTATTGGGGTTGTAGGTCAATGTGAAGGTCCTGGGTTCAATCCCCCTACTGACAGGAAAAGTATCTGTAGTATAGATAACAAAATAATACAGAGACCAATACATAAGGAGTCAGAAAGCCAGCCATATTTGAGATAAAATGGGAAATGGGAACATAGCTCAGTAGGTAGAGCACCTGCCTACCATGTGTGAGGCTCTTAGTTCAGTCCCCAGTACTGCTAAAATAAAATTAAAAAAAAAAAGAAAGAAATTGGATTATCTGAATTAAGAATTAAAATATCACTTCTGGTTGAGTGGAAATGGTGGAGTTGGGGAGTATGGTTTTTAGTTTTGGTAAGCTTACATATAGACACTGAAATGTATCTGCATATAATTGGGTAAAAGCTGCAAGCCCCCTAACCCGAATATGACCCTGGTATTTTTTTCAATAAAAAAATAAAATATAGTAGATAATAACAGTACAGGCTCTCCTTCTGTCCAGTCCTTATCCAATCAAGAACTATACAGCAAACTCAATAATGATTTCCTAAGGACAGAGCTATAGGACTGGGGCCGGGGATAGTTGTTATATGTGTATATGTACAACTTTCTCATTTTATATTACATGTGTCTATAAAGTTTAAATGTATTACGTTAGTAGGCAAAGAAAGTGACAAGAAAATGAGAGGTAAACAAGTTAGCAAGAAAATAGGTATCAAACATCTAGAACCTCAGAAACACAAATAAATACGAAATTATCTTTATAATCTCAAACATAAAAAATATAAAATGTCATTAATATAGAAATCTAAGCAAAACTATTCACTAAAAGTATCATGACTCTAAAAAACTTTCAAAATACTAAGTCAATTTGAAACTATTTTAAATAATTCAAATTTTAAACATCAAAAAAAGGCACATCAACAAAATTAATGTCTAAAACTGTTTTTCAGTTATTTCCTAGTCTCAGTATTCATTTTCTTTCAAAAGGCTCCTCTAGCTCCATTCAGTTTTAATTTCTATCTGTTCCAGACAGGTTTTCATAAGGATAGGAAGAACAACATGTACTAGTATCATATATGTGTCAGACACAATGCTAAGTCCAATATGTACAATTATTATTCCTGAACTTCAGATCAGATAGCTGCAGAATCCATAATCACATAGCTAGTAAACAATAGAATTGGGTTTATATTCTCCAGAATCTTAGTTCTTGCAATTTTGTCTTTAGAAACGCTTAACTCTAGGGGAGGAGTCCACACATCAGATTGAGAGGGTCCTAAAATTCTAAGAAATTACATATGATGAATGTGACTATTTTATACCTAAAATGTACCAATAAACTTAATGGAAAAAATTACATATAAAATGTGTGTGTGTATGTCTGTATTGTTTTGAGACAGGGTTCTTAATTTGGTTTTTTTTTGGTACCGGGCATCGAACTTGGGACCTTGCGCTTGTGAGGCAGGTGCCAGAACCACTGAGCTAAATCTCCAGCCCCTTAGTTTTAATTAGAATGTCAGTGTTCTATCTAAAACTCCCACAACTTAAAAAATCATGGTGAAACAACCATTTACTTAACCCCTCCATCAAATCAATACTAAACAGCAAACATGTACAAGGTCATGACCCTCATTCTTTGACCAAACCTTTCTCCTCAACTAGAGTAACTCTACTCCTTCCACATCTCCCATTTAGCTCTGTCTATCCTATTCTTAGCCTGAAGTCCAAAGTCCAAGTCCAAGCTTCCTTCTGTCCTCTCCTTTCTTTGTGGTACTGGGGGTTGAACCCAGGGCCTTTGCACTGATCTGTATCCCCAGCTGACTCCCTGACCCATCACAATTTTTTTTTGGTACCAGAGATCGAACTCAGAACCTTGCACTTGCAATGCAGGCGGCGGAAACCACTGAGCTAAATCCCCGGCTCAGTCCCACCACAATTTGAGACAAGGTCTTGCTAAGTCACTAAGTTGCTCAGGCTGGGCTTGAACATGTGATTGTCTTCAGCTTCCCAGAGTGCCAAATCAGATTTTTCTGCTAGGAAGTCTGTGCTTACTCTTCTATCCATATCTGAGTTTCTTAAGTAATGCACTCCTCGTTTTGTGCACTGTACCGCATTATGCTACCATCTAAAACTTAGTAATGTATGCCATATTTCCTTAAATAGCTCTTAAATGATTTCTGCGTTTCTTTAGTGTTCTACCTGAGGGCCTAGCATAACGCCAAGAAGAGCTACACAAAATTACATAGGAAAACCGAAACAAACTATATTTGAAGAGTGGTTGATACTTATTTCAATAAAAATGAATTTGTATAATGAATGTTTCCTCACAATATAATGCCAATGGGGTAAAAACAGCATTATATTTTGACTTTATGATTGTTAACTGCTCACTCAAACCTTTATCAAATTGAGGTTTAATTTGTAAAATTCTGGTGGTATACATATATTCAATAATTTTTAAATATTTATCAATATTTTACCTTGGTTAAAATATAGCATTTTGACATCACAGATTTCATGAGCATGATGTGAATATAACACTTTATTTTTTGTTATACCCTACCATGTAGCAAAATGCTAGTATTAGTAGAATACTTAATCCAATGAGACTTAAGGGATGCCAAGCATTCTTCTGTACCTTATGGGTTCCTTTTCATTTTAACACTAACAACCCTATGAAGTAGGTACTACTTCAAAGAGATAAAGTACTTTGCCTAAGGTCATATAGCAGTTGGTAGAGCTAACACCTAAGTATGGGGAGACTGACCCCAGAGCCCAGATCTGGGTATTATGCAAGGTGCAGTATGATAAAAAGCACAATTTTATAAAGGGATTAATTAATGATACTGGTTATTAAAGACAATGTGTAAGCATTAAAAATGAACAAAGGAACACAACTATACCCCAAAATGCTTAAGATCATTTTTAAGAGGAGAAAAAGCCATCAACCAGCTTATTGCTTACTGTGATCTTTCCCTTGCCCTGGCGAAGTGCAAACACTTGCTTGAGGGGTCACAGGCATGAGGGCTTGGCGAATTGCTTTTTCCCAGCTCTGTGCTACATCAAGTCCAATTCCAGTGGCAGCAAGAACAGGATTGTGAGAGCCGTCCCCATTGTTCTCACCAACAAAGTATACCATAGTGTCAGTGATGATTTCAAAACAGTGTGGGTTGCTGCCTTGTGAAATGTTTGTGAAATCTCGTGGCGAAGATACTTGTAGAATTTCTGAAAGTGGAATTTCCTGAAGTAAAAAATTAAGCATTTAAAGAATATGAATACCTAGTTTTAAAAATTTTTAAATACACTAAAGAATTGAAGGGTCTCATTAAGATGAAACCAGTATGTAGTATACTGAACATATAACTAAGTCTTAACAGTGTGTGCCTTAAGTGATTTGTATGTTCAGCAATGTGAGAGGCAGAGCATGGACTGTAATTATGTTAAGAGATTCAAGCCTATATAGCAGGTTGTTAACATGCACACAGAAGGATGTAGGAAGATAGTTTGCTACTATATCCAACAGTTGTCAATACATTAACTCAAAGGCTACTTCTCTAGCAGCTGCTCTTCTGCAAGTAAGTAAGAAGCAGAAATAATGGTAGAAGAAGCAGAATTCTGGTCATTATAGGTTGCTTAACCACTCCATCCTGGTTCATGTCCACCATTCTGGGTCTACCCGTTAATGTTCAGTCCATTTCCTAAGGGCAAAAAATTTATTTTTAAAAGCCAAGTCATCAGTATTCTCTATTTGCCTTTTAGATGGGTTCTCCCTACTTTGCCCAGGTTGGTGCCAAACTCCCAGACCAAAGCAATTCTCTCATCCCCATCTCCCAAGTAGCCAAGTAGCTAAGAGCTACTTAGAGCCAAGTAGCTCTAAGCAGGAAACCTGGTTTTATTCACTGAAGATTTTCACTCATTCTTTAATTTTGGCTTTCTTTCTTTTAGAAACTATGTCTCATTTTCCTCCATGGACAAGTACTGTTTATTATTGAACATCAAAATGGAAGTCTCTGAAAGGATGAACCTCTCCTCTGCCCAGCTTCCATTTTCTTTCTTACTGACCTCATCACTACACTTACAATCTTCTTTGGTGTCAGCCTGTGACATGGCAAAATGTAGGGCAAATCAAGGAAGAAGACTGCACAAAGGTGATGAAGAGCCAAAATAAGTAACCAAGAATTAGAGCTTAAGATAATGTGGCGGCTTCTGCATAGGAAATGATCACGAGACTTTCTAAGCAGTCTAACCAAAACCACAGTATCCAGAAGCAAAGCAGCAGCAGCCTGACAGGCCAAAACCACACATGCACACCAACAGAAAACAATCTTTGGTGGTGGGGCTGTTGGGGGTGGGGTGTGACATGGAGGGATGGGGAACAGTTGCTTCAACAAGGGAACAGTGACTTCAATAAGCTATGTTACACAGTCCTAACAGGTATACTCAATTAATATCATTTAAATATATTTGAATAAATACAATATTTTCATGTCTTTTATAAAATGTGAAATTCTTACCTTATAATACTTTGATCCAGATTCATTCTGAAATAATGTTAGACATTTGCTGTCAAGTCTCCAATAATGCCTCTTTCTCTATAAAATAGAGATCAGAAAACTGTGAGGTTCAAAAATAAAAGTACTTTTACTTTTCTTTAATTTTTACTTCACACATTTGTATTTGTAAACAGGTTTAAAATTCAAAAGGTTCAGGGCCAGGGATTTAGCTCAGTGTTCCGCTGCCTGCCCTGCAAGGGCAAGGGCCTGAGTTTGATCCCTCATACAAAAAAAAAATAAAATAAAATAAAAATTCAAGAGGTTCAAAATTCTCAGACTATAAAAGGATGTATAGCAAAAGTATCACTCCCACACTCACTCATATCCCACACTTCAGTCTTACTCCAAACAAACAATGCTGTTAGGTTTTTGGGAAGCCTTTTAGAGATATTTATGTGTGTATGCATATATTATAAAGTACACACACACACACAAAGCAGGGCATATGAATGATACCTAAAAGGTATTCCTAGAAGCTGCCCTGCTGGATCAGAAGACATCTGTACATGTAATTGTTTTTATGGTGTTAAATTACACTACACAAGATCTGATTCAACGTGTAGTTTCATCAGCAACATGAAAGCACCTACTTAATCATAGCCTCATTAATGCAATGTTACTAAACTATCTGATGTACTGAAAAATAAAAACTGGTATTTCAATGAAAGTTTAAACTGATATATCTTTTATTATACATGAAATCAAGCTTCTATGTGTAAGAGTCATTTGTATTTTTTTCTGTGAACTTTGTTCATATTCTTTGTCCATTTTTCTACTGTTCTATGGCCTTTTTCCTACCAGTCTGTTGGGTTTATTCACATATCATGAAATTAATTCTTGTTCAGAATGAGTTGAAAGTACTTTTTCCAGTTTCTATTTGTCTTTGTGATTGTTTTTTGCCACACAGAATTTCTTACTGAAGTTAAATTTATTGATCTCTTATTTTTCCCCACTGAGTTTATAAAATAATTCAAGAGTTTCTTACTGGTTTGTTTACATTAAAATTCTTGACTCATTTAGATTTATTACACGTAAAGTATGTGATATGTTTATAACTTTACTTTTTTTTCCAAAAAGGCTACATGGTTGTCAATGATATTTACTCAATTATCTATCATTTTCCCCACTGATTTAATATAACACTTCTGACACACCACTAAGTTCTGAAATGTATGTACATAACTTCAGGTTCCATTTGGAAGGATATAGACTATCAAAAAAAGCACACAACTGAAATCTGTATAAACCTTTACCAAAACAAGCTCAATGTATTGAGTATTTCATTTTAAAAGGTTTTACTACAAAGTCTCTTTTAGTAATCTATTCTGAAAACTTCTTAGAAGAATAAAAATGCTATCACTTATTAAGTGCTTACTATATGCCAAATATTGTTCTAAACTCCTCTCCTATATGGGGATATATCTGATCTATAAGTAGTTACTAGAAATGTAAAGAAAATAAGTAACTTTCCCAGTTTTATTAAAGCCACAGACTTAGGTGGTCTAGTTGCAAAGTCTGTGTTCTTACTGTACTATACTGATGCTTCGTATAGATTGTCATCCCACTATAATTTCACCACTCTTTCTCTTTGCTAGATAGATTTAAAAACTGGTCTTTATAAAAACAAGTATTTCCTATCTTTGTAATAATCTAAGATGATTTTTCAGATGAAGTTTTAGATCCTTCCACCACAAGCTGTAGCTCATTGTTTTGAGTCATTACTCTTAATTGTGACATATCAGATTCTTTTTGAATACTGATTGCTCTTCTGGTTTGTAAAACAATACATTAAATATTATATCTTTTAAAAATTCATTATAAGTGTAACTTATTTCTGTGTAACTCTTACATATTGCTGTAGTATAGATTTTATATATATACACACACATTGTTTTGACTTAAAAAGTACATAAAATAAAACTCATAACTAAGTTTTATTAGCATAATAAAATATGATTACTGACCAGATTATCTCTGCTGGTGTAATGGACCATCCATCCTTCCTTCACCATTGTGCTGCTCTTCCTCTTTGTATGCTTGACAGACTGTACAACCCTCATTAGTGGAATGTTATTGCTTGTTGATGGACTAAAAGGTATTATAAATTTATGATAAATATCTGTAATTTTGATAAAAATATTGTAAACTCATCAAACATTTTTAAACTAAGCTAAAATTTAAAAAATATCTTAACACAAAGACTTAAGAAAATAAATTAGCCCTATTATTATGGCACACAATTTATACAAGACTGAGATTATATAAATATTCATTATTTATTATGAATGTTTGCTGGGGGCGCAGGTCAAAAAAAATATGGGAACAGAGTGAAGGAATGCTTGCTAATTAAAAGATTAGGAAGCAAGAGAGAGTCTCATCTGGTTTGCTTTGGAGGAATTTTCCTGCCTTAGGCATCATAAAGAATTAGCAAATTCACAAGGTAAAATACATATATAGCACTCAAATTCACATGGCTCAAATGTGGAGTTACTCCACAGATCATATTGTTGACAAAAAGTACTTCTAGCAGAATATATTTAAAGTAAAAAGACTAATAGTAATTTAAATTTAGAACTGTAAAGAGTCAATCAGATTATACTGAACTATGAGTCATGACTATAGCTGGAGAAAAGGACCAATCTGGTATGTGTGTGTAAAATACACTGTTTTGCAATTTGGGCAGCCAACAGTTAAATACTTTCTCTTAAATTATGAAATAATTTGTGATTAGGAAACTATATTAGTCTCCAAACAGGGTAAATACCAAGTTTTAGTAACAACAAAAACAACAGCAGCAGCAACAACATTAACAATAACAATTGTAATCTAATCAGAAGCCAAAGTGAATAAAAGATTACTTAGCCTTATGAGACTGACCCATTTCCTCTAAATAACTCTTCATTCACTGCTAATAAAAACCAAAATCTGCTAAAATACTTACATTTTGCTACAAAGTAGTATATCCTATAGGCTACAAACACTGTATATATATAAACATAGTGGAATATTTAAATCTTATAATCTGGTTATACTAAGTACCAATAAGAGTACTTCAGTAACTATGAAGCAATAGATTAATTATGGTGATATGAAAGTCATTCCCAAATACATCACCATCATCTTTGTGCACTGTTCTCGGGAGTAAATATAATGAATAGTGCTACTTTTTTTTCTTTTTGGTACTGGGGATCAAACTTGGGTCCTTGTGCTTGCGCAGCAGAGAGCGAAACCACTGAGCTAAATCCCCGGCCCCAGTGCTACTTTTACTATAAGGTAATCTGCCTGTATAAAGAAACTAGCTGCTTTAATACTGGCTACTTTAATAACAGTTTAATACTGGCCCCTTGTGGTGGCTACTGGCTGTATTTAAGTAAGGTATTTCAAGAAAGAACTCGTATTTTCCTATCTTGAGTATATGGCAAAGGAGATATAACTTACTTCAGAAATACTATGATAATACTATGGTACATGTAAAAGAATTACCTATGATTTAATTAGATTTTAAATTACATTTAAGGGTCTGCTTAAAGAAATGTAGCTTTTTCTCAATGTTCTGAAATAGTAATCTTGACCCTGCATTTGGAAGTAACTTCCACCACCTACACATTACCTGATGGTTTTAACAGCTTCATCATCTCGTTCCACATCGAGATCAGATGGATCCAGGAAGAACATTTTATCTTCTGGAGGAGATGGCTCTTCTGTGTCATCTAAACTACGATTACCCTCAGTGTTTATGTCATTATTATCAATGTCCATTGGTATATCTGTATCTGTTCCCATACTGGAAGGTTCTGGCAAGGTTTTAAATTAATTTCAGAGTTTTATATGAATGAAATGTCAACACATCTAAACAGAGCAATCTATTAAATAGAAAAAAGTTTCGGGCCGGGGATTTAGCTCAGTGGTTTTGCCGCCTGCTGTGCAAGTGCAAGGACCCGAGTTCGATCCCCGGTACCAATCAATCAATCAATCAATAAATAAAAGCTTCAAAAATTTTAACAGGAAATATCTGTGATTCAAGATAAGTATTTATTTCTCAGAGAAGTTACAAAATGCACAAATCATTAAGGTACAAAATAAATTTGATTGTATTAGAATTTTAAATTCCCTTACAAGAACAGGTACTGCGTATAAACAAAGTAAAAGATAAGCCTTCACTATTACATTATGATCAACTAATGTGGGAGGGCAAGGGGAGAATAGTCTTTTTAATAAATGGTTTTAGGACAACTGGATACCTACATGCAAAAGTGTGAAGTATGATTCTTTTCTTAAACCATATAAAAAATTAACTCAAAGTAGATCACAATCTAAAACGTAAGAGCTAAAATTATAAAACCCTTAAAAGAACACATACAAATAAATCTTTGTGCTCTTGGGTTAGGAAACACATTCTTTGATATAACACCAAAAACCAAAGTGACAAAAGAAAAACTAATAAAAAAGATTGTCACTGACTGGGAGAAAGTATCTGTGAATTGTGTATCAGATAAGGGACTTATATACAGACTATTGAAAAACTTTTATAACTTATAACAAAAAGAAATCATTTAGCAAATGGGCAAAGGACTTGAAAAGATAGTTTCCCAAAACAGAAATAAAAATAGCCAATAAGCATATGAAAAGATGTTCAACATTATCAGCCAACAGGGAAATGCAAGTGAAAAACTACAATAAGATACATGTCACACTTATTAGATGGCTGTAATAAAAAAGTAACAATTGGTGGCAAGAATACAGAGAAATTGGAATCCTTGTACACTGCTGGTGGGAATGTAAAATGGTACAGCATATTTGGAAAATAGTGTGGCAGGTCCTCAAAACATTTAACATAGAATATTATGTAACTCAATAATTGTATTAGATATCTACCTAAGTAAAATGAAATCATGTTCACAGAAAAATTATACTTAATTGTTCACAGCAACATTATTTATAATAGTCTCAAAGTGGACATCACACAAACATCCACTGACTGATGGATAAAATGTAGTGTCTCTCTGCAGAATAGTATTACTTGTCAATAAAAAAGTACGGAATACTGACATATACTACAATATGGATAAGCCCTAAAAATACTATGCTCAGTAAAAAAAAACCAATTACAAGATCACAAATTATATAATTCCACTTTATATAAAGTGTCTAAAACAGACAAACACAAAGAAATAGATGATTACTAGTTGTCAGTGGCTAGTGGGGAAGAGAGGCTATGAAGTCATTATTAATTACAGAAATTTTCAGGTGACAAAAAATGTTCTAACATCAGATTGTAATGATGACTGTGTAACTGTTGGTACACTAACTGGGTGAATTTAAGGTATGCAAATTCTATCTCACTAAAGTTATCAAAAAAGATTAAGTCACTAAGAGAAGGACTTATACCACATATAATTGAAAAAGGACTAGGACATAAAGTTAGCAGCAACTCCTGAAAATCTGTAATAACAAACAAAAATAAGCATTTGAATACACAACTTACAAGGCTAAAAACTCCAACTAACCAGTAAACATATGCTCAGACTTAGCAGCAATTAGAGAAACATAGAAATAAATATAAATAGAATTTCATATCCACTTGTGAAAAATAGAAAAGCACAAAAATACAAATATCTGAACTTATAAATTTAAGAGAAGATTTTAGTCATAAAAGAGGAAAGGGACCAAGAGACGGAGAGTGGGGAAAGGAAGGAGGAGATGAAAAAAAAAATAAGACGTGTTATGCATATGTACCAACTCCCCATGATGAACATAATCACTATGAACTGCAAACAAGTACTAATAAATAAAATAAATTTTAAAATTACACCATATTAATTCAGATTAACTGAAAGAGAAAACCAATTATACTTTGTCAATGACGTTAACTAGCTATGGTGCAAATGATAGTTTATACCCAAATTCATATGCGGAAATCCCAACTCCCAAGGTAGTGGTGTCAGGAGGTAGAGTCTTTGGTCAAGGATTAGGTCATAAGAGCTCTGCTCTCCTAAGTGGAATTAGTGGTCTTATAAAATAGGCCCAAAGGTGCTCATTCCTCCATTCTACCATATAAGGATGTGGTTAAAGGCACCATTACAAACCAGGAGATCAACCCTCATGAGACACAGATTCTGCCAGCACTTTGGGCTTCTTAGCTCTCCAAAGTATGAGATATGAATTTCTGTTGTTTGTAAGCTATCCAGCCTATGGTGTTCTAACAGCCCCGAAAGACCAAGACCATCAGCCACCACAGAAAATATGCCATAACAGAAAATGTTAAAATCTAGAAGCTTAATTTTTATTCCTTATGCTTTTCCTACAAAATTATTTCCACTTATTTTTTTTACCAGTCATATAAATTGTTAAAGGAAAATGATGTTGAAAGCCCTTACTGCCTTCCTTTGGAAAAAAAAAAAAAGGTAATGGCTTTACTTAGTATTACTTAAAAACTGAGGGGAAAAAACAGCACAAAAGGGAAAATATTTGAATAATGATTATTTAATGGAGAAAGAGACATGCAGTATGTGTTCTAATAACTATGAACTCAAGAGCAAGATCTTATGGGTTTAAATTCTAGCTCTGCCACCTACAGGCTGGATTTTGGACCAATTATTTACTCTGTATGACTTAGTACTTCCTCAGGATAACCTCCCCACAAGTCACTCAACCCTTTGGGATCAGTTTCTTCATCTGTATAATGAGGCTAATACCATTTGTACAATGCTGCAAAAATGTGTTGTCAGGTCTGTGCTTCTTTCTCTTATCTCAAAGGGTGGTTGTTCTGTTTAAATGTTAATACTTTTAGAGTTCAGAACAGTGTTAGCATAGTAAGCAGTAAATAAATATTAAGAATTTTAGGGGCCGAGGATTTAGCTCAGTGGTGCTGCTGCCTGCCTTGCAAGCGCAAGGTCCCGAGTTCGATTGCCGGTACCAAAAAATAATTTTTAAAGAAGAAACAAACAGCAGAGTTTCAGAACAAGTATCTTTTTTTTGTCTACAGATGGAAGAGGATATGCAGCACCACAGGCTATCTCAGATTACAAAGTGGTAGGTGGGTTAAGGAAAGATGGGGAAGCATAATTACTAATAAAGGTATAATATCACTCTATTTGATTATTAAATCAGAAGAAAACCTTAAGGAAACAAAGTAAAAAACAAAATATGTAAATATAATCTTACACAAAAGAATCATAACCTTTTCTGACCTTTTATGGAAATTAAGAAAAATAATTGTACCTCCATTGAAAGTAACCTCCCCAAGGCAGTCTCTTGGTACTTTTGATGCACAGCGTTTATGGCAATTGAATTTGCAATCTAAAATAAAATTATCAGTTTATTATTATATGTAGATAGGCAATATCAGATTTGGCTAGACTAATTATTAACAGAAGAAAATCAGTAATCATGATGTTGCTGCTAAAAAAAAAAAAGGGTCATTCTCAACTAAGAACTCGTCTTTTTTTTGAGATGGGTCTTGCTAAGTAGTCCAGGCTGGCCTTGAACTCACAGTTATCCTCCTGCCTCAGCCTCCCAAATGCTAGGATTACAGGCATGCACTGCCAAGCCCAGTGGAACTCAAATCTTGACTAAAGGTTTGGTTTCAACTTCTGATGGCACATTTTAATAGTTGTTTAACCTTCCACATGTAACTTAACCCTACTACATCAGTTTCTTCAACTGTATAATGAAGCTAATACCATTTGTATAATACTACAAAAATATGCTAGCTGGTCTGTTTCCTTTTCTTACCTCATATTCATCTTTCTACACCCGTGATAAAATTTTAATCCAATATATGTCAGCTACATTATTTTCAATTTCTTAAGTATTAATGCTTGATGCATATACAGAAAGGAGACTGAGATTCAACAGTTACAAGGAATCTAATAAAGGTTTTTACACACTAAAGGACTCAGTTTCTCAAGCACAAGGTCTCCCATTCTTATATGACGGTTCTCTTCAGCCTACAAGAAGAACCTCAGAGTCTATAGCATTGTAAATCAGGGTTAGATAAAATCTTTCTTCAACAGAAATGCAAATCCCTTGGTCCCAAGCCTTAGGAACTCTAGGAGTAGGGCTGACAAATGTGTCTTAATGAGCTCTGCAAGTGACATTAAACTTAAACCCACTAATGTAACTATATCTAACGCCACCTCTGAAACAAATCTAACAGCAATAACTGGGTAAAAAAACTTTGAATCTTGACTTGGAATGCTTTGTAGTTCTTGTGAGTCAAGGAAGTCTTACGTATTATGTTACCAGCATAAGCTGAAGATCATTATTGGGGGAAAAAAGCCCCTAAAAATTAAGAATTTGGTGAATAAAATTCAATTAAACAAAACATGATCTTTATGAGAGTCCTAGGAAAAATTCATATATGATATTAATATCTCGCACCCTCTTAACAGATTCGGTTTTATCTATGAACTCTGCAAATCTTGAATATAATATGGTTCCTTTTTTTCTTTGAAAATTTAGAGCCAAATTTGTGGCCCACCTGTATCACATATGCAAATTCTTTTTTTTTGGAGACACGGTCTTGCTATGTAGATTAGGTTGGCCTTTAACTCAGAGATCCTCCTGCCTCAAGCTCTCAAGTGCTGGGACACAGGCATGCACCACCACACTCACCCTAAGTACTACGAAGGTTCTAACGGCAGGCATTTTTATTTCTTTATGGTCTTAACCCATATTTTTAGTAATTTGTTCATGGTTTGTTTTTGGTACCGGGGATCGAACTCGGGACCTTGCACTTGTGAAGCAGGTGCAGGAACCACTGAGCTAAATCCCTGGCCCCATTTGTTTGTTTTATTATGTTTCACACATGATTTCAAGATGCCTTAAGGTTTTTATACAGCAAAAGAGAAAATAAGATAAATTGATGAAGGAATAAATGAGAGAAAAAGTTTTTAATCCAGTGTATCTATCTTAAACTATATCTTTTTTAGCTTAACAAATGCATGAAAATGATGATTATTTCACTTTTTAAATATCTTAATGCATATTATAAAAATAAAGAATCACTGAAGTAATTTATTTCTTATTAATTATTGGAAAAGCTTAGCTGTTCAGAAATATAATCTGCCATTTTCTGAACTAATATAAGTGTAAAACGTTATTCTCCTAAAATTCTAAAAAGGTAAACTAATAACCCATTAGAGTTTTATTTAAAAATTCATCAACTGACATATTTTAGTTCCTCTACAAAATACTGTGCTTTTCTGCATTTTGTTTTAGAATGTTTCCAATCTATTTTTATCCTGGTAGGTATTATTAATTTACCTTTACTAAGATTATTTGTTGGTTAGGATTTTTATATCTGTCATTAATGTTCTTTCTTAAACCAATTTTTAGTGGCTGCCTGCCAATATATTTTTCTGCTGATATTTTATAGCATTAATTTATGTATTAACATATTCAAATTAAGCTGTTGAAATACAATTTCAATGTTTAATTATGCCTGCACAATGGTGATTAAATATTTGACAACAAATGTAGAAGGTATTCTCTAAGTGATGTTATATGCTGTCATATATTGTGAAGAAAAGTTCTTTTTCCCTTTTGCAATGCTGGGAATGAAACTCAGGGCCTTATGCATGAGTGGCTGAGCCACATCTCCAGCCTTTTTCTTACAAATTTAAGTTAAAGTGATACTAACTATCTTATTATACGTTGCAAGTAAGGACTACTGCAAAAATCTCAATAATGTTTTATTTAAATCACTTGATAATCTGGCTCCACAAATACTTCTATTATATTTTTAAAAAGCATGATACCAAGAACTGTTAAATTAATTACATGAGACCACTTAACATGGGATTCAGTCACTAATAAATTAAAATATTTTAATTCCCGTGTTCACTATACTATTTAGCACTGGAGAGAAGATATTAAACAAAGAGACAAAATTATCTTTAAATAGCAAAAAAGCTTACAAACAAAATCAATCCATTATTCCATTAAAAAACCTGTTTGGTTAAGAGATATTTGGGGAATACTTTGGTAATTGTGTTGGGTTACTATCCAAGTAAGGATGGTCTCTCTTTTAATTTAAGTGGCTTCTTCTACATCCTACTTATTTCATTGTGATTATTATTCAGAATGACATTTTTGTACTGCTCTCCTACCTATATAATTAAAAACAAAAAAATCCAAATCCCTGTAGTGAGTTTACATATGTAGGTATTTTTTATTGTTTTTGGTACCAGGGATCGAACTCGGGACCTTCTGCTTGCGAGGCAGGTGGCGGAACAACTGAGCTAAATCCCTGGCCCCTTACATATATATGTATGAATACTGTTACTATTTCTATTTTGAGTAGTGTCTGGGTCTACAATCAGAAAGATTTAAGCTCAAATGTCAGTTTTGCTGCTTAGAAGCTGTTCTATACTGCTAAGTGTTAAACATACAGGAAAGTAGTCATAGATCCAAATTCTACTTTTTCTATTTATTGGCTATGTAATCTTAAGAAATGTACTTAAATAGAAAATGATTACTATTACTAATAGCAAAAGGATTATTTCACATATAGTTTCTTTGAATTATTGTCTTTTTTAGCACAGTGGCTGGTACGTAGTATAAACATTGCAAAAAATACTAGTTAACATATATACATACATGTATTCATATATATTTTTTCTTTTCTCTTTTAAGTTAACTGCAAGAACAATTTCTTCAGCAAATGTTTCTGAAATATAAATGTTTAAACCTATGTTTATTAACAAAAACAGACACGAATTTTACTTTAGGTAACATCCAATCCTACCTTTGCACTGCATTCCTTGGCGAAAAAGACCTTTCAGTAGCCGCTTGCAGTACTGACATATTGTGGGACGGCCATAAGAGTGAACAGCAAATGTGTGTGGAACTTTAACTCTGCACATTACCATCTTTTCCATCCAGATTGGGCGACCACTCCAAGATGGAATTCTCTTGCTTGGTTCTTGGTAGATATGTGACTAAAATGTAAGTAATTCTCATAAGTTTAAGTCACTATCAAAAACAAAGTATCAGGAGCAAAGCTTAACCACAAAAGTCATTTATTTAGCATGCCAAAGCCAACATTCTAAAAATGCAGATCTGAGCAGTTTCCTTTGGAAAGTTGAATTTACCAAATCTTGAAAAGTACAGATTCTTTTTTTGCCCTATTATTTATGCTAAACAAACAGTTAAGGTATGTTAATTCTCACTTATATACATTCAGATTGTTATTTGCCATGCACATTTAGCATTTAAAAAATAAAAACCAAAACCTTAAAATGAGCTTATAACATGTTCAAATCTACTCAAAAGTTATTAAGGAATTAGCTACAGGAAAAGTAAATTCAGGAAGTAATGTTGCATTACCGAAAATGATGTCTGAAAATATTTTGGAACCAATCTTAGATTTTCAAATTTATCTCAACCAACATTAAGATATGTACGTAAAAATTTAAGTGTAGTCTGGTGCAGTGGCAGAGGTCTGAATCCCATCAATCTGGGAGGCTGAGGCATGAGGATCACAAATTCAAGACCACCTGTCTCAAAAATTAAAAGCAGCAGGGACTGTAGTTCTGCGAGAAGGCTCTGGCTTCAATTCAGTTTTACCCCTCCACTCCCCAAAAAGAAGTCTAATTAATTTTGGTTCCATAAATGGCAGATACAGAACAAATTAAAATAAGCTTTAGCCTCAGTAATTATGCTGTAAGTAGTTCCTTAACATTTTCAATATTTTCCAGTTCTTTGGGTTTTTTTCTCCCAGGTAAGCAAAACCACAAAATTAAAGAACAATTTAAAAATCTTTATGTAAGAGAGGTGTGGTAGGGAGGCTGAGGCAGGAGGACTAAAGGTTCAAGTTTCATCTGTACAATTTAGTTGAGACCCTATCTCAAAATAAAAAAGAAAAAGAACTGGGGATGTAGCTCAGTGCTGGTCTCCCTGAGTCTGCCTAGTATTACCCAAAAAAGTATCCTAAGGGACATGTGGATTTTTGTAACTATGGCTCTTTCTATATAAAAGAATATGTAAACAAACTAAATTATATGCCAATTCAGTATGGCTCATTATATCCACTCAACAAACATTTATTTATTATATACCAGGCCTTATCTTATGTATTTGGGACCCAAAAATGAATAAATCATAATCCACATTCTCAAGCTTAAAAACCAAATACCTAACTGCTGCCTAGATATATTAATAGATTCTATTGTAACTACTTGCATATTCACACCAGAAGTGAGATCCTGAGATTGTTTAGTTGCCTTCTGTGTCCAGTAATATTTATCACCCAGAGAGGTTGAGTCATTCTACATTGGTTTGTTCAACCAATGGAAACAAAAGTCAAAAGAAATGCAGAGACTAAATTTCTAAAATGAATTTTGAAGCAGTTTAATTCAGGAACAGTACAAAAAGAATGTTAAACCCCAAACCACACTCGAGGGCTTCAGATGTCCAAGGGTGTCCTACTCTAGTCTGGCTCACTCTTCCCCCTTCTGCCATGTATGGCCTAACTTCAGCCAAAGAACACTACAGGGATTCTGCAAAGCTAAGAAAGAAACCACAGGCAACTATAACAAGATGTTTTAAGTCTTTGCTCATCCCTGGCTCCCTATTCTAGTGTGACTCAACACTATGCTTCTCTTGCTCCTGCTTCTACCACTTTCGGTCTATATCAAGTTCAAAACCCACAAGATGGAATAAGACTGCTTTAGCCAGTCATCATCCAAGGTACTCTTTAAAATAAGTTTCATAACAATCCTTTTCATATGCCAATAGCAAATGAGTGCCTTTTGGTCAGGTCCAACTGGGACTGGGGTATTAAGGAAACAGTACAGAACATGTGTGCCAGAAACTACTGAGGGAATGGTGGTCGTAGCAACCACCTGATTTGTCATATCCAGTACAAAGTTATCTATGTTATTATTCCTAGTTCAAATATGAAAATAAACAGGCTTAAAAGAATACTACCAAGTGGCAGTGTTAGAATCAAGACTTAAATTTCGGTTTTCTACATTGTAGTCCAGTGATTGTTAATCTCTTCCCCATCTCAATATACCTGGGATTACAAACAACCCCACCAGAGCCGGCTGTGGTGGCACATGGCTATAATCCTGGGGAGGCAGGAAGATCATTCTGAGTTTTAAGGTCGGCCTGAACTACAAAGTGAGATCCTGTCTCAAAACCCACCCCCCAAAACAAAAAACAAACAAAAACAACAACAAACCCACCAGTAACAAAGCTTTGCTTCTCTGTTGAATGAGGAAGGCAGGAAAGGTATGGTAGATTTAAAGAGAATTTTGGAGGAGGATGTTAGTATAGTTAGCTAGAGAATTCGGTGAGGCTAGGAATTTAGTTCAGTGGTAGAACTTCTTGCCTAGGATGCTCAAGGCACTGGGTTTGATCCCTATCACTACATAGGGAAAAAAGAGGGGAAGGGAAGGGAGTTTGAGCCATTGAAACTAGAGTAACTAGGGCTGGGGATTTAGCTCAGTGGTTCTGCCACCTGCCTCACAAGCGCAAGGTCCCATTACCAAAAAAAAGAAGAGTAACTAGAACTGAGTGAAAATTCTTAAAGTCCCCTACTTATAAACTGGTGCTTAGCTTGAACTGTTGTTTCTTCTCTGTGTATGTAGGCAGAAATTTTCTAAAAATGTGATTATTTCCACAGTTTAGGTTTAAGCTAGCATTTGACTAATGGCTCACAGAAATCTGTAACACTGCTAATTCTCAATTATATAAAATAATAAAATCAAAGTATTTTAAAATGAGTAATTTCTCAATTACTAGCTCTGGAGTATTACTTGGTGATTATTTCCATTTTGTACATACTTAGACCCAATATTTTCTATCTAGTGTGATTCTGTCCTTTCTGTCCCCTCAGGAATATACTTCTTTGGCTTAAGATTGCTTTGGGTATTCTGGATCTTTGGTGTTTTCATATGAATTTTAGGAGTGTTTTTTTTCTAGTTTTGTGAAGAATATCACTACAATTTTGATGGGGACTACATTAAATCTGTAGATTACTTTTGGTAATATGGCCATTTTAACAATATTAATCCTGCCAATGATGAACACTGAAAGCCTATTCATCTTCTAGTGTCATCTTCAATTTCTTTCTTTAGTATTTTGTATTCACTGTAGAGTTCTTTTACCTCCTTTGTTAGGTTGATCCCTAAGTATTTTTTTGAAGCTACTGTGACTAGAATTATTTTCCTGGTTTCTTTCTCAGCTAGTTCTTTACTGCTTTATGAAAAAAAGACATTGACTTTTTAATGTTGATTTTGTATCCTGCTACTTTGCTGAACTTGTTAATCAGCTCTAAAGTATTTTACTGGAGTCTTTAGAATTTTCTACACATAGGATCACAAGGTCTTCTTGGGCTCTCAAAACAACACACCTCTTGCCCTATCTTCTTCATTCCCAGGTAAATTCCTTGAGGAGTTTGGTGTATAAAATGCACTAATTATACAGCCATTCACTCTCAATACCTATGCCACACTATTCTTTTTCTATTTTAGAAATCTCACCCTACAGCTAAGCAACAGGAATCTATAGGAATTTTATGACAGGATTTCAGAAGCTTTTACTCTAGTATATCAGGATAGCAAAATCTTGTATAACCAGGATGTCAAGCCCAAAGCCTACATTTTGCCACAGATTTATAGAAGACTGAAAAGTTAACAGAAACAATTAAATGATAAGATTACAATCTATGAATGGAAGTCATTTCAAACACTATTAAATGTGTAAGAGAGTTCTTTCTTCCCTGATCTACTACTTTTACTCTTGAGAGGCACAATATATTAGCAGGGAAAAATCACAGAAGATTAATGAGATCTGGGTTTAACTCTAATATCTATTAATTTTCTTTTTGACTTCAGACAAGTCACTAAGCCATTTTGTGTGTCCACTGTCTTATGTGTAACACATCTGATATACCCCATATTGTGAGGATCAATGGAGTCATTCATTCATTTGTTAACAAGTACTAGTAAGTACCTACAGGCATTGTGTTGGGTACAATGGGGCACATAAAGACAAAAGTATTAGCTTCTCTAATCCTAAACTCTTTGGGAAAGAACTAACATTGGGAAAGACACAAACATTATATTAGGTAGAATGTTACACACACAATTAGAAAGGTTTGAAAAATACAATGCCATTCATATTTTTCTAGGGCAGTGGAAAATTAGGAAAAGTAGCTTTTGAGGTAGATCTGGAAAAACCATGTAGGATGGGCAACAATAAGAGCAAAGTAAGGGGGAACAAGGGAGTGTCTAGGAAATGTTAGAGCAGTACAGACTTTCAGGAATATAAAGCATACAAAGGTTTCTGTGATGGTTAATCTTGGCTGTCAATTTGACTGAATTGAGAGCTGCCTAGAAGACAGGTAAAGCACATGCTCTTCTATATCCTATAGAAGCACTAGGAATAACTAGTAAAATGTCCTATTACCTTAGAATACATACCTCTTCACTGAGCAGAGGTACACATTCAGGCTGGAGAGGTCTTGGAACTGTGAGGCCAGGTCCTGGGAGAGACACATTTGACAGACGTCTCTTTCTTACTCCACTACAGTTATTTGGAATCTTGAAGGCACATCTTTTATGATAATTTAATCCACAGCCTAAACATATTTTAAAAAGCAAAATGTAAGATTATTATATTATAGATTATTATATTATATTATTATATTTTAAAAAGCAAAACGTAAGATTATTGGTTAAGAGTAAAATATAAAAATTAGTGCTTCTTTTATTTATTTTCTCGGCAACAATACTATCCTAAATAAAAACCAGTATGAGAAGGTCTGAGTGAAAGTTTATAAATTGAACAAGAATAATATGTAGGGAGAAATGTGTATTTAGAAAGGTTAAGTTAGCTGGAACAGTGGATTTTGTAGTCCCTAAAGCAATCAACTAGGAATGTGTTAGAAATGTAAATTACTGGGCTTTACTCTAGATTTACCGAATTAGAAACTCTGGGTATGGGGGCTAGCAAAGTTTTCTGATACTTGGTAAATTTTGAGAACCAGTGGCTTAAAACACTAGTTAGCAGCAAACTGTCCTGTGTAATAAATACTTCCCATAATGAGAAATTATATAAAACCTGAATTTTAGTATTTATAAATACAAGTTTTACTGGATAACAGCCATGCCATTTGTATTTTATGGTTAGTTTCACATTACAATAACAGAGTTTCGTCACAACAGAGACCATATGGCCTGTGAAGCTTAAGATATTTACTCTCTGATCTTTTACAGAAAAAAGTTTATTGGCTCTCCACATAGAAGACTGCTCCTTAATCTAAATGTATATCTGCAGCCTACCCCCCAGTAATGCTAATTCAGAAAATCTTTGACAATTTTGTTGTTGCATACAAGAGATTTAACTTTCTAAAAAGATAAGGAAGTCAGTGAACTTTCTAAAAAGTTGATATGGTAAGTAAGGAGTTTAGTATTTACTGAGCCACTGCTTTGTATCAAATGTTCTATCCATTTACCTTATTTAACCAGTTATGAAACTGGTAAGGTAGAACATATTTATATAGAAATCAGTCCTCAAAGAGGACTAGGAACTTGCCTCAGGATAGGAAGAAGTAGGTAGCAGAGGTAGGTCCAGAATCCTGATCTCTGCAATTGTAAAGTTGGATACTGCCTTAACACTTATCCTGATCTTGGTTTTTCATTGATAATAAAAAAATGGAAATGTGACATACTCTTTCAAATGACTATAAAAATTTTAAAACACATACCTTCACATTTTAGCCCCTGACGTACCAATCCCCAGAGCATCTCACCACAATAATCACAAAAAGTAGGAGCTTTGTAAGAATGTACATATAGAGTATGTGGACGAATCTGGAAGTCTTCTACTGTGGCCAAAGCTTTTAAAAAAGAGAAGCATTAAATTTTTTATTTGTAATTGCAAAGCGAGTAGGAATGCTCACCATTTTGTCAAAACATAGAATATTCTTTTCCTAAAAGTTTCATCTGACCATAAAAATAAACTATTTTGGGGATTTAATACTGTGAATTTAAAAAACTGATTTTTAAACTCTAGGAAGTTTCCCAGCTTCAAATAAGTTGAGCTCCAATTCACCTTGAAGGTCTGTAGGCTAGGTATTTGGATCTCCAAAAGTGCTTTCTCAGAATGACAAGACTGCAAATAGCTGTTAGCTCTATGTCAGTCAATTAAAAACTGTTTAGTGCTGAGCACTGCAGTACATGCCTGTAATTCCAGCACTTAGGAGTCTGAAGAAAGTTATCACATTTGAGGCTAGTCCAGGCTATAGTGGGACCTGTCCATAAAAACAAAAATATCTGCTCCAAAACTCTTTAGCTTATTATAAACTGGGATATAGAACACTAAAGTAAAAAGTAAAAACATGGTAGGGGGAAAAATAGTACCTGCCCTCCTCCCCAGCAAAACAAAAAAACAACCTGTGGAACCTAACTTTAATTTATTGTAATACTTCTGTGGGAAAAGATACTGAGTTCTAACTTAGGATCCCATTCTGGAGACAGAACATTCTGTCTGTTCTCCATAGTCCTAGTGGTTAAGAGAAAAAGACTTTCCCTTCAATGAACAACAGGACACAGAAATCTTCCTCCCACATCAGCCTGCAAGTCATTAAGCATGTCCCTGTGACCTGATGACAGATCCATAGCAAAAAGGGATGGATAGGAGTATGATCTTCAGGGAAGACAGGGAGTCAAGTCCTTCATGAGTGAAGAGGAAGATAAAGAATAGGAAGTATAGAGATGGTCTGCTGTTGTGGTGTAGAAGACAAGTGCACGCAGGGGAGCTAGATGAACAGGATTAGAAGTAGAAGATGAATTGAAATTTTAAGAGTATCTCAAGAACAAGTGAGTACTGGTGGAGGGAAAAGTGATAGCAGGGCTCTGAACCCTTGGGGAGCCAGCTTGCTTCCTTTCTCCCAACAATCCCCCTTTCTTGCCAAAAAAGCATTGCAGACCTACTGTGTGCATCATTATAGCTTCCTCTCTTCCTTTATACTCCTCACAAACAATCCTGTCCACATGCTGTTGGCTAATAGTGGAAATAGCAGGAGTTAAGGAATAAGGAATGACAAGAATGAGTAAAGTAGGAAAAGGAGAAATCCCACTGGAAACAAAAAGAGAAGAATGTAAGACATGAAAACAGCAAATATTGTCACTTCTTCTTCTATATGGTTCAGTGTTTTTCCACTTTTCCTAATTTTCTTTCCTAACTCTCAATTCTCAACTGTAATAGAATTTTAATACTGTTTCATTTCTTCAACTCAGAGAGAAAGAATATATTTCCCTTCCAGTTCAGCTGATAATTCCTTTGGCTTAGTAACACTCAAGTGAGTCACAGTTCATTTTCCTACTTTCCCATCTGTGATCTAACTTTCCTGAAAGTAAAAACAAACAAACAAAAAAACACACAGTAACATAATTGAAAGGAGTAGGCAACTGTATAGTACCAAGATTAAGTGTAATAGAACACAGCATTTAGTACAGAATATTAAACTCTGAAAAAAAAATAAAAAGAGAAAAAAATAAAAGGAGCTATTTACTTACCTGACAGAACAACTTCTACTAGATCTCCTTCATGTATTTCATCTGCTGAGGTAATCAGCTGCAAAATATTTTCAGAGTTCATGTCATGGCGGAAGAGAAGAATTTTTTCATACATGCCAAAGAATCCACACTCTGGAAACTGTGGGAAAATGGTCCTGTATTAATATACCCATAGCTTTCCATTTTTATGTTATGCTTCAATGTTATGAAAGAATTGTAAATACAATGTTTTAGCTAACAGCTACATTAATATTGTATCTAAATGTGATCCATGTACTCAAGCATCCTGTCTGATTTTAAAGTTCAGATACAGAAAAATAAATTTACAAATAAATAATTAATAATTACCTTGAAACATGTATCTCTTAGAAAAAAAAGACTATCTAAACAGTTGGTGGAGAATACAATCTTCAACTTACTGCCCTTTTTCCTTCCCTCCTTCTATCTCTCTTTCTTGTTAGTACCAGGGACTGAAGCCAGGGCCTTTGCACTGAGCTACATTCCCAGCCCTTTTTAAATTGTTATTTTGAGACAGGGTCTAGTGATGTCACTAAATAGCCCAGGCTGGGCTTGAATTTACAATACTCCTGCCTTAGTCTCTTGAGAGATGGGATTACGGGCGTGTGCCACTATGCCTAGCTATGTTACTCTATTTTTAGATGGCCTACACAAGCAATCCTTTTTTCATTCTTTAGGACTGCACTGTCTAGTGGTTAGCCACTGCTATCATTTGTTCCCCAATGTTTCATGTATTATTAAAGCCTTGGTCATCAGGGTACTATTGGGAGGTTGTGTTGGAGCCCTTTGCGGGGGCTCTTCAGGTCACTGGGGATATGTCCGTGAAGGGGATTTTGGTACTCCAGTCTCTCTCACGCACTCTTGCTCTGTCACCATGAGGTGTTCGGTTCTGCTCTGCTATATGCTCTTGCCATAATTTATTACCTTGCCTGAAGCAACAGAACCAACTAATCATGGACTGGAACCTCTAAAACTGAGAGCCAAAATAAAGCTTTTCTAAGTTGATCATGTCAGGTATTTTTTTTTTTTTTGTACCAGGGATCGAACTTGGGACCTTGCGCTTGCAAGGCAGGCAGCAGAATCACTGAGCTAAATCCCTAGCCCCATGTCAGGTATTTTTTATAGCAATAAGAAGTTGACTAACACAGCTACTAATCACATGAAGTTATTTAAATATGAAAAAAGTAAAATTAAAAGTTTAGTTCCTCAATCACTTTAGCAATATTATAAGCACCCAACTGCTACCTTGACTACAGGCTATGGAACTAGATGGTGCAGATATAGAACAATCCACTATTCTGGTAAATTTGATCGAACAAGGCTAGAATACCAGTAATTTTCAAACTACAGTCACAAGAGTACTGATTCCAATATCCCTACAATATTCTTATTCTAGTACCGTCATGGCGAACCTTTTAGAGCTTTCAATGATAACAAACAGCATGCTGCAGCATGTGTGCCATAGGTTCACTACCAGTGTAATATTAATATTTATCTACTATCTTTTATTTTTGAGGTATATAAATTTTTTTTTTGTGGCACTGGGGATTGAACTCAGGACCTTGCGCTTTCGAGGCAGGTGACGGAACCACTAAGCAAAATCCCCGGCCCCAATATATAAATGTTTTAATCACAGATTTTTTTACTGTATGCAATTAACTGTATTTCACAACTAGCATCTTACAAAAGACAGTACCATTATGTCTGTAAAAAGTACTGAAATTAAACACAGAGTAGCTCCAGCTCTGATAACACAGAGAGGGGAGTGTCCAGGTCATCTTCACCCAGAGAAGCCTCATCACTGAATGGAGAATCTCATTAAACTTTATTTTCCTCAGTTTCTTAATCACTTCTGTCCTGCCATGCAAATACACAGATTATGCCAAGAAGTACCACATTTTCATGACAAGCATATTTGTGTGCAACCCATAATTTGAGTTTTACATAAAATTAAAAATTTTAATTTCATTGAATTGGCTTTTATTGTAATCTCTGCCTACAAAACATTTCCAGACTTAACATTTTGGCAATTAGATGTCATGAAAATGTTGTTGAATTATTCATATGCAGTGTTATTGGTAAGTCTATTTTCACTTTTAGTGAATTCTAACACATATTCTCTACTATTGGCATGTAATGAATTTAAATTTTTTATGACATACTGCAAGCTGCCTAAATATTTATTATTTGAGAATTATTGTATTATTTGTGAAACAAATAGTTATATGTCTACTACCTTTTTTAAGTCTACTCACTGTAATTCTAAACACATGGGCTTATTACTTTACCTTTCTTTTAGAAAAATCTCTGACCAAAGCAAGAGACTTGCAGATTTGCTCACATATGGCCTGTTTCTTTGTAGTATTTCAAGGCTTCTACATTTTGTGACGCTAGTGTGCCAAGAGACTCTGGGGATTAGTATGCAGACTAAAATATGAAGATAAATGTCTAATATAAAAAGCAAATTATTTGAAGTTAAGAGAGAATTTACAAAATAACCATGCATGGTTTTCCAATCAATTATTAAAAAATGAGCCCATCTTTGAAACTACCAGGGCCTTGGGACATGCTGTTCTGGAAAAAATTTCAGGTCTCAAAAATTATAAACTCACTGGCCTTTTAGCCTCTTGTAGAATAACTTTTAATCATTAAAACTATAAAGTATGTCAGGCCATATAAGACCTGGGTTGAGCAGCCTGATAAGAATCAGTCACATTAAACTGTAAATGCACTTTTTGCAGGGATGGTGCTGACATGTGATTTACCTGCTTCACATGGTAGCCCTGCTCTGTGAAGACCCATGAAAGAAATTTCTGATTGGTTTCATAACATGAACAACCTGATCATGTAGTTAATCATGTTTTCTTATTTATTTTATCCAATGGAAAAAAATAGCTAAATTTGTACACCACTTTTAGTATCAGTCTATTTTATGACAGGTGTTTTAGGTACAGAAACCAACCCAGCTTCCTCTTGTTTTGTGAGTTTAATTTTGTCATTAGAAAAAAATCTTTTCCATCTCTCTAGTCAACTGAAAAAAGTAAAATACAAAATTTTAAAATTATATACTAAATTTTTATTTAGATTTTAATATTAGAATTCACAAAATTTTATATTGGAGAATGAAATATTTTCTTAAACTGAAACAATTTCAGGATTAATAACAAAGGATTCCACATTCTATTCTTAAAAAAACAAAATCTCTAACAAATTTTATATGAATGAAATTGATTTTTAAAAGTCCTATTTCTTGCATGGCTGCTAAGTGCAACGTATTGGCCCTATAGTTTTTAAAAAAGTAAACCGTCCTTATCTTGCAATTTAGTAGGAAGATGGAAATACAGTATCATACATCATAAGGCAAACTAAAAAATGAACTATAAACAAAATTCTAGAATAGGAGCAAATAACTAAGTGGGAAGTATGGGGACACTTGGGCAGAAGTGTGAAAGAAGAGAAAGCGGGCTGGGCACAGGCCTGCAGCCCTGGCCACTCTGGAGGCTGGGACTTTCAAGCCCAATCTGGGCATCTCAGCAGGGTCCTGTCTCAGAGGAAGATTTAAGAGGGCTCATGCTCTGTAGTGGTGCACCTGCCTAGCATGAGCAAGCTCCTGGGTTCCATTCAATCCCCAATACTAGAGGAGGGAGAAGAAGCAGGGTTTCCACAGGCTGAAAATAAAAATGTGTCAACATTGAGAATAAAGTTGAGCACAGCCTAGTTACTGAAGAACAAGGTGGGAAGAGCTGGGTAGTAGAAAGAGTGCACAAGGGCACTTGGGGCCTGACTGGGGCCATACTAACAAACCTGGAGTCAACAGAGCTGGTTTAAGCTTTGGCACCTATTACATATAACTTCTCAGATTAATTTGTGTTACTTTTCCACATAAGTTTCTTGTTTATAAAATGGGAGTAACAGAAGTACTGGCTTTATAGGGTATTTATTAAAATTAATTTTTTGGTTGTTGTTTTGTTTTTTTGAGGTAGGGTTTCCCTTTGTAGTTCAGGCTGGCCCTGAACTATGTAGCCCAGGCTGGCCTTGAACTCACTGTGATCCTCCTGCCTCAGCCTCTCGAGTGATAGGATTACAGGCCTGTGTGACCACACCCTGCTCAAAATTAGATTTCTTGATGACTACATAATCCTTAGTCTTGTGATCAATAAATGCTATTGGTTCACATTATTATGCTATATCCAAAGTAAGGAAATAACATGGTTAAATGTTATTTTAAAAAGATTATGCTGACAGTACTATGTACAGGAACTGGAACAGGAAAAGATCAGCATAAACTCCTGAAGGAAAGTTGAAGCTATGGGTCAGGAAAGTTTAGATTATTATAATGAGAAACAAAAAGAGACAACACTTCTCTGATAACTCATAGGGATCACCAATACATAAGCCCAATATCCAAATAATTATTACCGAAGAACTGAATAATAAACACAACAATGACAGAAAGAAAACAGCATTCAAGTAATACATTAATGGCTTGGAAAAAACAAATACAAAACGATCTTCTTAATAGACTCATGACTGAGTGAATAATAATAACATGAAATCAGTATTAGACCCAAAAGTAAAAAAAAATTAAAAGGGAACATTACAAGTGTACATTTAAAATAAACATTTGTGTATCAGAGGCCAGAAAGCCCTATGATAAGGCTAGCAAATGTTTTCATAACTATATTCATCTATTAAATTGACAGATTACAGAGTTCTGAAGAGAAAAGTTATAACCAGCCTGGTACAGATTTTTTTAACTGATAGGTGTGTTTGGTAAGATACTCAGGAATTATCTGAATGCAAGAGTCAGAACTAAATGAAGTAACAGAAAATACTGCCTTAAAAAAAAAGCAAGAAAAGATTAAACATTGCCACTGAATATCAGAAAACATGGTAGATAATCCATAAAAAAATAAGTTTGAATGAAGATATTAAAGATAAGCCTCTAAAAAATACACAGGAAATAATGCATGAACACACACTTTTAAAAGGCCTACATAATTATACAAAATTAACAAAACACAACCTGCTAATTAATTGAATATACAGGGATTTACTGTTCATGATTCTTAAAAATTCAGTAATTAGGTTTTCAAGCAGGAGTGAGACCCTAAAATATGT